TAAGAAACCCAGAAGCTTGTTGTGTTGCATTGTGTTTTGCAAATTCCATTCTGTGAGCGGCGAGGCAGACATAAGACATCAGCCACGCTTGCATTGAGAGTGTTTGGAGCTGGGAACTAACTATCCCTTATTTGTGTGGTGCTAAAACTTTATAATTTGTCCACGCTCAGAGCTTATGTTCCCTCTCACCACATGAGTATATGACACGTTGCCAAGTTTACTTTCCCTGGATACATTTTACATTTATGCTCTACCAACTGAGCTACACGGGACGTCCCGGAGAAATAAAAAGATAGGTTATGATAAGGGTATAGGCTACAACATTACCGTGGAAACAGGTGCTGCACCCAGTTTGGAAGGACAACAACATGGTAGATGGATACACAACCTGCACAAAGTGCAAGCAGGTAGGCCTACTTGTTTTCGATAATTCAGTTAATTATTACATTAATTCAGGCTTTTGTTCATTAGACCATCCGCAGGCCATATAAAGTGTAAACCGGAGCGGCTGGTAAAGGTTTGAGGAGCCTACTAAATAAACGTAGCCTATTTTTGCAGCCTATTTTCAATGCTGGGAATGGTTTATTTAAGTTTTAAATTAGGCCTAAGCTATTTGATTATCTAAACAATATTGAAGGTAAAGGTCTTGTTTTGATATGTCAGCTACAGGCTTTCATTAGGTAAGAAGGCTAATTAGAAGGCTATTTTTCTCAAAGCGATTTGAGTGACACATCACGTTGTGAAAATAAAAAGATAGCCTATCGTTCTTAATTCATGGCATGGTTTCCTTTCATCCAAATGGTGAATAGACATGGAGACAAATTAATTCATGCAGGGAAGGGGAATAGTAATAATAGCCTAATCATTATTATAATTATAATAAAGCCTACTACTCTGGAGTCATAAAAACAGTTAAATAAATTAATGTAATATGGCTGGTAACAGATCAGCTCTCTGAACAATTATATGTTGGTGGGTCGGGTTGCGGAGAAAAATCTGTCCTGATGTCGAGTGGGGCTCGGAATGGATGTGGCCGGCGTGGCTCCAAAAAACTGACCTGTGAAGGACTCTACTAGGGGCACACCTAGGGGCATAGCTAGGGGAACTACTGAGCAAAAACAAGCAGTAGTCGGCAAATGTATGGACTATATTAGATCACCAGTGAATTTCTATTTTGAGTCCCGTGATCACAGTTAGCCATTATTGCAGCGTACTGGGAAAGGAATGACTAGATAATGTTTGAGGATCAGTCATTGACTACTGAGACCTCCAGTGGTAAGGAAAGGAAATAGGCTAGGTTCACCCGTGTCTCAGTAAGAGCTGCTGTAGGATCAAACTAAGCAGCAGGCTGTCAACGGCTGGAATATGACGACTTAAAGGAACATTCCGGATTTAAATATGAATGCATTGCTGTGCATGTGAAAAAGCACATTGCATTTCTCTCAATTGTAATTGTGCTAGTCACATTAGTGAGTGAAAGACCTGGAGAAATGCGTTCCGTTTTCATATATTTTTACAATATAGACAATTCTGACTTTGCAGCTGGCCCATCTAGCGGAAATCACTCAGTTCTGCCTTCAGGACAAGACTCATCCAAATAAACGTCAACCTGGTAATTTTGCTAAACATTCATTTCAGGACTTTTTCATACTGTCTGAGCACGCCTTTCCACCGTTAGGCCTAATCCACTATTTATGGGTCTGAGTTTATCCCTGTTCTGACAAACTGCCTTGATTTCACCACCACAAGCAATTTTCCCATCAAAGTCTCATTTTTCATGAACCTACATCTTGGCTCAATTCATTTGTAGCACTATGACTCAAACACAGTAGAAAATCAGTTACTCCAGACAAATGGCTAAACAAGTTATAGTTCACAAATAATGTTTACTGGTGTGATATTAAAATCAATGAACACAATATTTACACTACCGGTCAAAAGTTTTAGAACCCACTCATTCAAGGGTTTTTCTTTATTTTTACTATTTTCTACATTGTAGAATAATAGTGAAGACATCAAAACTATGACATAAAACTTTTTTGGTTACTACATGATTCCATATGTGTTAAACAAATCAAAATATATTTGTCTTAATGAAAGCTTTGCACACTATTGGCATTCTCTCAACCAGCTTCATGAGGTAGTCACCTGGAATGCATTTCAATTAACAGGAGAGCCTTCTTAAAAGTTAATTTGTGGAATTTCTTTCCTTCTTAATGCGTTTGAGCCAATCAGTTGTGTTGTGACAAGGTAGGGGGGTGGTATACAGAAAATAGCCCTATTTGGTAAAAGACCAAGTCCATATTATGGCAAGAACAGCTCAAATAAGCAAAGAGAAACGACAGTCCATCATTACTTTAAGACATGAAGGTCAGTCAATACGGAACATTTCAAGAACTTTGAAAGTTCCTTCAAGTGCAGTCGCAAAAACCATCAAGCACTATGATGAAACTGGCTCTCACGAGGACTGCCACAGGATTGGAAGACCCAGAGTTACCTCTGCTGCAGAGGATAAGTTCATTAGAGTTACCAGCCTCAGAAATTGCAGCCCAAATAAATGCTTCACAGAGTTCAAGTAATAGACACATCTCAACATCAACTGTTCAGAGGAGACTGTGTGAATCAGGCCTTCATGGTCAAATTGCTGCAAAGAAACCACTACTAAAGGACACCAATAAGAAAAAGAGACTTGCTTGGGCCAAGAAACACAAGCAATGGACATTAGACCGGTGGAAATGTGTCCTTTGGTCTGGAGTCCAAATGGGAGATTTTTGGTTCCAACCGCTGTGTCTTTGTGAGACGCGGAGTGGGTGAATGGATGATCTCCGCATGTGTATTTCCCACCGTGAAGAATGGAGGAGGAGGTGTTATGGTGTGGGGGTGCTTTGCTGGTGACACTGTCTGTGATATATTTAGAATTCAAGGCATACTTAACCAGCATGGCTACCACAGCATTCTGCAGCGATACGCCATCCCATTTGGTTTGGGCTTAGTGGGACTATCATTTGTTTTTCAACAGGACAATGACCCAACACACCTCCAGGCTGTGTAAGGGTTATTTTACCAAGAAGGAGCGTGATGGAGTGCTGCATCAGATGACCTGGCCTCCACAATCCCCCGACCTCAACCAAATTGAGATGGTTTGGGATGAGTCGGACAGCAGAGTGAAGGAAAAGCCGCCAACAAGTGCTCAGCATATGTGGGAACTCCTTCAAGACTGTTGGAAAAGCATTCCAGGTGAAGCTGGTTGTGAGAATGCCAAGAGTGTGCAAAGCTGTCATCAAGGCAAAGGGTGGCTATTTGAAGATTCTCACATATAAAATACAGTGGGGGAAAAAAAGTATTTAGTCAGCCACCAATTGTGCAAGTTCTCCCACTTAAAAAGATGAGAGAGGCCTGTAATGTCCATCATAGGTACACGTCAACTATGACAGACAAATCACATTGTAGGATTTTTTATGAATTTATTTACAAATTATGGTGGAAAATAAGTATGTGGTCACCTACAAACAAGCAAGATTTCTGGCTCTCACAGACCTGTAACTTCTTCTTTAAGAGGCTCCTCTGTCCTCTACTCGTTACCTGTATTAATGGCACCTGTTTGAACTTGTTATCAGTATAAAAGACACCTGTCCACAACCTCAAACAGTCACACTCCAAACTCCACTATGGCCAAGACCAAAGAGCTGTCAAAGGACACCAGAAACAAAATTGTAGACCTGCAACAGGCTGGGAAGACTGAATCTGCAATAGGTAAGCAGCTTGGTTTGAAGAAATCAACTGTGGGAGCAATTATTAGGAAATGGAAGACATACAAGACCACTGATAATCTCCCTCGATCTGGGGCTCCACGCAAGATTTCACCCCGTGGGGTCAAAATGATCACAAGAACGGTGAGCAAAAATCCCAGAACCACACGGGGGGGCCTAGTGAATGACCTGCAGAGAGCTGGGACCAAAGTAACAAAGCCTACCATCAGTAACACACTACGCCGCCAGGGACTCAAATCCTGCAGTGCCAGACGTGTCCCCCTGCTTAAGCCAGTACATGTCCAGGCCCGTCTGAAGTTTGCTAGAGTGCATTTGGATGATCCAGAAGAGGATTGGGAGAATGTCATATGGTCAGATGAAACCAAAATAGAACTTTTGAACGTGGCTGGGTCTTTCAGCATGACAATGATCTCAAACACACCGCCCGGGCAACGAAGGAGTGGCTTCGTAAGAAGCATTTCAAGGTCCTGGAGTGGCCTAGCCAGTCTCCAGATCTCAACTCCATAGAAAATCTTTGGAGGGAGTTGAAAGTCCGTGTTGCCCAGCGACAGCCCCAAAACATCACTGCTCTAGAGGAGATCTGCATGGAGGAATCGTCCAAAATACCAGCAACAGTGTGTGAAAACCTTGTGAAGACTTACAGAAAACGTTTGACCTGTGTCATTGCCAACAAAGGGTATATAACAAAGTATTGAGAAACTTTTGTTATTGACCAAATACTTATTTTCCACCATAATTTGCAAATAAATTCATTAAAAATCCTACAATGTGATTTTCTGGATTTTTTTTCTCATTTTGTCTGTCATAGTTGACGTGTACCTATGATGAAAATTACAGGCCTCTCTCATCTTTTTAAGTGGGAGAACTTGCACAATTGGTGGCTGACTAAATACTTTTTTTCCCCACTGTATATTTTCATTTGTTTAACAGTTTTTTGGTTACTACATGATTCCATGTGTTATTTCATAGTTTTGATGTCTTCACTATTATTCTACAATGTAGAAAATAGTAAAAATAAAGAAAAGCCCTTGAATGAGTAGGTGTTCTAAAACTTTTGACCGGTAGTGTACAACGAGTAGCCTAGTTTGCTCTACTTCCGATTGTTGACTACTTTGTAATTTCTTCTTCAAAGATGGAGTGAATGAACAAGACCACATATTTTACTTGTACTCTACTGTGTTGACTGACAGGCAAGCGTTTCATCCCATAGTATAGTGGAGTGATGTGTACTCAGTCTGGTAGGGTAGGAGTTGGTAGAATGTACTTACTGCTGTCTGTGGCCAGGGCTGTTTTGTCTCCAAGGGTGTGGCGGTCTCTGGGCACAGTGAGGGTGTGACGTAGTAGCCACACCGTGCACGACTCGTTCCGGCGCTCCTGCAGCAGCAGTGGGTGGATCTGAGGAACAGCCAGGACAGCAGGCAATGAGGACAACTTATGCTACAGTTGCTACTGGTAATAAGCAATGGGACAGTTCACTCCAGGAGGGTGGAATTCCACTCTCCTTAAAAAAGCAAATACAAATGTAGGCCTACATGATTTCCCATCTCTTCAATCCTCACACCATATATTATTCATTATATGGTAGGAGTTAAATACCTCTTGTTTGTCCAATAGGAGTAGCTGACAGTTGGTAACTATGCAGAACTTGGGCTTCCATATGGCAGGCTCAGTGAAAGGCTGGCCGCAGGATATCCAGTTAGTTGATGAGCTCTTCATATCTGCAAAACACGTATATTAACAAACTATGACAGACAATGACTGTGGATTCCTCTTAATAGGCTTTAGTGTGTTTATTCCAATATTACTTACAGTACCTGTAAGTACATAGAAGCAAGTCCCTTCTATTGGAATGGATGACATACATGCACATAAAAAAACATGCCAGCATCCCGGACTGTACAGTGGAGATGTGACTCATGTAAGCTCTGATAAAGAGCAAACAATCAATGCATTTTTCAGATCCCTACTTCCCCCACATGACACAGAGGGCCTCAAGCCTTATCAAATCAAGGGGATCATTCAATAACCCTCCACCTTTCACTGTAGTACGGTGGGCTCGTTCTTCTGGGCTCATTACTGATGGTGACTCAACTTCACCAGACACAGTAACTTAGCTACAGAGTTTGACTGTTATCAAACTCAAAATAAGTTGATACTATATTAGTTAAGCACTGTAGGCAGGCAGCACAGATCATGTCATAGCAGGCGGACGCTGTGCTTTCAGTAATCCCCACTTTCTGGGAGATTAAGGTTACTACCAGGGTTCAAATGTCGCATGCGTGTTACGTCCTCTAATGTTCACAAGTTCAAGTAGTATACTGCTTGAGGAAGAAGGATTTTGTCTCATTTGATGTTAACCTTATGATAGGCTACACCAGCATTGTCAGTAAGTGTGTGCCCATAACAGATTGAAGACATACAAAGGCTGAGTGGTTGTTCTCTCTTCTGAAGAATTGATAAGTAGCTGCATGTGTCCAATTGAGCTTACAGCTTAGTCCTGCTTACTTTTCCTTTGTAATGGTTGCATCACTCCAGTCTATTCTGTCAACTATGCTACTGTTTTTACACAACTAAGCTTGTATCCTGCAGTTTAATATTGGTATTATGGTTGCATAACTTGTCAACAAGAAAAGGAAAGAGACACATTAATTAGATTCTCACCTGTCATGACTCACGTGTAGCTAGCTAGCTAGAATTACTACAGCAGGAATTTTGATGGAGAGCTGGCCAAAACATTAAAAACACCTTCCTAATATTGAGTTGCACCCTCAGAACAGCCTCAATTCGTCGGGGCATGGACTCCACAAGGTGTCGAAAGCGTTCCACAGGGATGCTGGCACATGTTAATTCCAATGCTTCCCACAGTTGTGTCAAGTTGGCTGTATGTCCTTTGGGTGTTGGACCATTCTTGATACACACGGGAAACTGCTGAGCGTGAAAAACACAGCAGCGTTGCAGTTCTTGATACAAACTGGTGCGCCTGGCACGTACTACCATACCCCGTTCAAAGGCACTTAAATATTTTGTCTTGCCCATTCACCCTCTGAATGTCACACATACACGATCCATGTCTCAATTATCTTAAGGCTTAAAAATCCTTCTTTAACCTGTCTCATCCCCTTCATCTACACTGATTGAAGTGGATTTATCAAGTGACATCAATATGGGATCATAGCTTTCACCTGGATACACCTGCTCAGTCTGTTATGGAAAGAACAGGTGTTCCTAATATTTTGTACACTCAGTGTATACTTCACGTGCATGGAATTACAATTTCTCAGGCATATCAACCTAGTTAGCTTGGAGTCCATTGCTTTGAGGCAAAGATACTTCCTCCCCCTTTCATCGGTACTTGAGGTTTCATTTGCTAGCTAACTAACTAAAAACATTTGCTGTGCTTAATGGCTACTTACCGATAACCCTCATCCAGCCTTGGAATTTACATCGTGAAAGATTGGTCACCAGATTCTCCATATTATTTCGTAGTAGAGCGCACTTTTCCCGGGGATAACGATTCAAAAATAAAGTGGCGTCTCCCTCAGCTATTAAGGATTGAGGCATGTAATCTACTTTAAGCATTTTTTAGCATATCACACCATGATAATTACAAATGGAAATTCAGCGCAAGGGAATAAACCGTGCGAATGTTCACTCTCACTTTTCAGGACCATGAACATGACTTCCACAACTTCTTCGCCTCGCGCTGTGCATTTCACACTCTAAAAACAAAATAAAACTCGCTGACTGAAAATAGGGCCGTGTTTTGACACACCTACAACGTCCTTAAACACCTTAATTATATTAAAGGATTAACTGTCTGGCATCGACCTAGCTGTGATCAATTGTTTCGGGTTTGTTGCTTTCTTATTTATTTTTAAATACATCACTTTTTGGAAACGTTTATGGGACGTAGAAGCTAGGCGTATTTAGCCTTGCAGTAGTTACACTACATGGACAAATGTATATGGACACCCCTTCAAATTAGTGGATTCGGCAATTTTAGCCACACAGGTTACTGACAGGTGTATAACACCCGCACAGTAGGTGGCGGAATGCACTTAAAATATGTTTGCGAACACTATATACCGAAGAAGAAGGGTGTATAAAATCGACCACACAGCCATGCAATCTCCATAGCCAAACATTGGCAGTAGAGTGGCCCATACTGAAGTGCTCAGTTACTTTCAACGTGGCACTGTCATAGGATGCCACCTTTCCAACAAGTCAGGTTGTCAAATGTCTGCCCTGGTCAACTGTAAGTGCTGTTATTGTGACGTGGAAATACCTAGGAGCAACAACAGCTCAGCCAAGCTCACAGAATGGGACCGGGGAGTGTTGAAGCGCGTGGCGCATAAACATCGTCTGTCCTCGTTTGCAACACTCCCTACCGAGTTCCAAACTGCCTCTGGAAGCAAGGTCAGCACAGAAACTGTTAGTCGGGAGCGTCATGAAATGGGTTTACATGCCGAGCTGCTGCACACAAGCCTAAACTCACCATGCACAATGCCAAGCGTTGGCTGGAGTGGTGTGAAGCTCACCACCATTGGAATCTGGAGCAGTGGAAACGTGTTCTCTGGAGTGATGAATCACGCTTCACCATCTGGCAGTCCGACGGACGAATCTGGCTTTGGCAGATGCCAGGAGAACGCTACCTGCCCCAATGCATAGTGCCAACTGTAAAGTTAGTTGGAGGAGGAATATTGGTCTGTGGCTGTTTTCCATGGTTTGGGCCAGGGCCCTTAGTTCTAGTGAAGGGAAATCTTAATGCTACAACATACAATGACATTCTAGACGATTCTGTGCTTCCAACTTTGGAACAACAGTTTGGGGAAGGCCCTTTCCTGGTTCAGCATGACAATGCCCCCATGCACAAAGCGAGGTCCATACAGAAATAGTTTGTTGAGATCGTTGTGGAAGAACTTGACTGGCCTGCACAGAGCCCTGACCTCAACCCCATCGAACACCTTTGGGATGAATTGGAACGCCAACTGTGAGCCAGGCCTAATTGACCAACATCAGTGCCCAACCTCAATGATGCTCTTGTGGCTCAGTGGAAGCACGTCCCTGCAGCAATGTTCCAATGTCTAGTGGAAAGCCTTCCCAGAAGAGTGGAGGCTGTTAAAGCAGCAAAGGGGGGACCAACTCCATATTAATGACTCCATATTAATGCCCATGATTTTGGAATAAGATGTTCTACGAGCACATACTTTTGGCCATGTAGTGTAAGTATTCACAGTGTATGTCTTCAAACATCTCATTTGATTGTCATTGTGACTTACAATCACAACAGATCTGATCATACGTCACTGGATGTAATGGGACAGGAAGTCTCCATCTGTTTCATGCTATTATGCTGCCATCTAGTGCCAAGGCTAGAGGTAGAACAATTATATGCTGTTTCAAACGAAAGCACTAATGATTTTCACTAGTCACCAGTTTAATATTAAAGGCAGGGGCGCAACTTTCACTGGGGACATGTCGTCGTCGTCCCCCCCCCCCCCCCCCCCCACATTCTGAAATTGCATTTTTGTCCACCACAGTTTTATAATTGGAATGTGATACAAAACGAGGCAAAGATGTGCTTTAGGACCATGCGGACGCCTCCGAGTGGTCGGGTAGGCTGTTCGGAGTGTTTATCCGACTAGAAAATAAAATATATATAATTGTGTCCCCCCCACTTCTAAAACCAAAGTTGCGCCCCTGATTAAAGGTCACATGTTTTAGGTGTACGGGAATGCATAAGATATTTTCCAGAGATTTACACTACATAGTGTAAACTGATGGGAATGTTGATAAACATTTCATAGCCTACTCCTCATGTTATATGAACATCCAGTTATCTTTATAGTTGTGTCATTAATATGGTAAGGTGAAACTGGTGAGGTCATGCATGTTCCTCCAAGGATGTTTGCTGTGTAATCATGTGTAAAGTTGATACTGTCAGTCTCATAATAGATCATTTTGTCTCTTTCTGTACATTCCTTACGGGCTCCTCTAACATTTCTCTGCACATGCTGCTCTGGAAAACCACCAGGCTTGGTTTTAATAATGCTAAAGACTTTTGTGAACACAACAGATGTGGATATGGTTTTAAGATTATGTACCATTTTACATTTGTATTCCTGTGTGGATTAGTTTTTTGGGCTCTTCTATTGCAATAAAGTTAACTGGTAGGCATCTATATCTAAGGAGGAGCAAATGCAGATGAGGTGGTGAAGACAGCCCAGTACATCACTGGGACCGTGCTCCCACCCATCAAGTGCCTGGGGAAGTCCCGCAGAACTGGACTGGCCACCTGCACTGACTCTCCGCATCTTAGCACACATGCACTCACTCGTGCACAGACACACTCATCCACACACACACGGGCTGCATTTACACAGGCAGCCTATTCTGATCTTTTTTCCACTAATTGGTATTTTGACCAATCAGATAATTTCACATCAGATCTTTTTCAGAGCTGATCTGATTGGTCAAAAGACCAATTAGTGAAAAAAAAAAGTATCAGAACTAGGCTGCCTGTCTAAACACAGCCTATACATTCATGCTTCACACACATCACAACTGCTGCTACCAGACTACTGTTTATAATTGCTAAATACTGCACAATGTAAACACTTGCCCCCCAATCCCTTTCCCCAAATAATTGTGCCTTCCTATACCATACACTTATGCTAAAATCTGTATTCTACTGGGCCATTTACTTTGTTTGTATTCTTATCTTTTCTTATTTCTTATTGGTGTTGCATTGTCCAGAAGGAACCTGCAAGTAAGCGTTTCGTTGGACGGTGTTTACCATGTGTATCCTGTACATACAGTAAGACTAATAAAAACTCGAAACATCTCGAAAATGACCAAATAAAGTTTAATGAATGACAAATAAGGATGCATAATGCCCGCTGAGAGATGTAACAGTTAACATTTCTAACAAGCATAGGAAATAGGGGGAAATGTACAGTACACAGGAAGTTCTCTATATACACAGCTCTGGGCATGTAACATGGTAAAACAACTATTGTACAGTCATTAATGTTTAAACATGCATTTTATTTGATTTAAAATACAACTAGAAATCAAAAGTCAAACTTTTATGCTGCACACAGTTTACCGTTGACGTGTCACTATTCAAGAATCATCCATAAAATATATTAAATGGAAACTCCATCGGATAGATATTATGAATCTACTCATAATATAAACTGTTTGTTTTAGAGTGAATACAGTCATACTGTAATTTGAAGGAAAGTAAGTGCATAAACGGTTGCAAGTACCTTAAAACTTTGCTTATTAATAATATAACGCATATATAGCATGTGACTTCTGATCACAAATTTACATAATAATCAATTAAAACTATATTGTAAATAATATTTGGTTATTCAATTGAAAAAACATACTTGCATAGTTTAAGATATGTGTCAATAGTGCAATGACGTAAAGGGAGTGATGTGCATTAACATAAATGTTAATAGGAAAGCGTCATTTATCTTTCATGATGTACTGACGTATTGAAATCAAATCATATTAATCAAAGTCGAAAGATTTTCTGTATTATGTTCATCAGGCACAATCAGAAGAAAACAAAATGAAACCGGGAGGGATTACCTGGACTTGTTGAATAAGTAGGCCTAAATGCTATTTTTTGTTTTCGCTGAATTATTTTCTCTTTTTTTCACTGAGTGCCCTAATGAACACAACCCCAGGTTTCACTGTCAGTGGAAAGAATCTAACAGTCTGGCACAAAACAAATATATGTCTTGAGGAAACACAGAAATATCTATAGGTGGGAGAGTAATATATAAAGAAATCTTTGGATATTGTAAGAGCATAGACCAAGACCCCCCCCTTAAAGTCCATGACTAAAGGAATATTCTCATTCTAACTTTCTAGATTTCAAATGTCAAAAAAGATCTTACAGTGTCTAAAAGTACTATGTTAAAATAAGTTATCCATCCTCTACCTTGAATTTCCAGAAAATAGAACAGTTTTGCATCTACCTAAGTCAAACTACCTATGTCAGCATAAACTGCTAGAGGTAAACGGAAAACCAGGAACACTATCAGAAATGCTTGTAGTATTTGCCTTGGTCTCTTGTCCCCCTAACCATCCTGTAAAACTGTCTGTAAACACATTTGAAAATGAAAGGACCAAGTATAAACCGACTGTTTACTGATAACATTCATAAAAAAAACGTGTATTTGTACTAAAACTTGGCATTACAGTACTAAATAAAGCTCTTAAACTGCGGTTTCAATGATCAGTGGAGAGGCACAACGTTGACAAAGGTATAACTTGCTACAAGTTAAATGTGGCTTAGAGATGGCATATGGCTGTTAAAGAGAAACAATTCAAAACAGAAGGTAAAAAAAAAACACTGAAAAACTATTATTAGAGCAGAATATTATTGGAAGTTGTCTGAATTTAGTTTAGGGACTGCCAGCCCATTTTAGCAGTGCTCTTTCAGCAGTTTTACTGCCATCCTTTAGAATCAGTGGTATTGTTATTTCTTGGACCCCTGAGCCATATCTCACATTACCTTTACAGTACCATCACAAATCTTCTACTCAAACTATCATCCAGTTAAGACCAAAGCACACCCCAATGGGCACACATTGGTTGAATCAACGTTGTTTCCATGTAATTTCAATGAAATGACGTGGAACCAACGTAGAATAGAAGTTGAATTGACGTCTGTGCCCAGTGGGACTGTTTTTCAGGCTGTGTTACTGTTGAAGATGCTTGAGAGGACGCTACCAAATTGGTTCAACAGACAACGTACCTATAAAAAACGTACTCAATCTTTACGTTTCTGTTCAATGCTTGCTGTTTTCCGGTTGAATTACAAATGAAATAATAAAAACCTTAGCTATGGTGGAAGAGAACACCCATTTTTACTCGTCATATTATATACTGAAATAGCACTGTAGCGCAAGAGAAAGCAACATGAAACAATTCAATGAGTACAACTAGGTAGGCCTTGCTAGGCCGATCTTGCCTTTTACTCCCCCCCTTCTCCGCAACACCTCCTAACTGCAGACAGCTAGTCTGGCCGTCTGGTCGGCCAGGTCAGTAGGCCGTCTGGTCGGCCAGGTCAGTAGGGCGTCTGGTCGGCCAGGTCAGTAGGGCGTGGTGCCCTCCCACTCTACCAGATACTGCACCTTCCCCTCCGGAGTGACCCGGCGGGCCAGCACCTGGTACTTTTCTCCACAGGTGAGCCGCCCCGCCGCTCCAAAGTAGTTGGTGATGGAGGACTTGAGGTGAGAGAGGGACGAGTCGTCCTCGCTGATGCTGTCGAAGGTGTGGCTGTCGATGGCGTTGTCCAGCATCGCGGAGGCGGCCTCCTCTCCCGGCAGGCTCTGCTCCATGGGGCTCAGCTCACTCTCCACCACCTCCTTCTTAGTGGCCAGCACCGTGTAGTTAGAGGTGGGCAGCTTCCTCTTACGGCTGCCAACATTCTTCCTGCAACGGGTTAGAAAAATATTCATTAGGGCATGCAGCAACATGAGCATTTCTTATTGGACAAGTCCATCCTCTTTCAGTCTGTTTGACCCTAATATCAGCAACCTATTGAAACAAAAGCAACAACAGTTTCCTGAATTGACTACTTTGTTGTGCTTTGCTGTGCCACCAGACATACCTTTGTGGAGTCAACAACAACAAAAAAGTCAACTGGACATTGGACACCCACTCCGATTACAAACATGACTTGGATCAGCCACCAGGGGTAGCTGTGGTCCGGTATATAAGCTTTCACTCTCTGTGGTTTTCATGCCCTATGACGTGGGTGCTGCTTTTATACTTCCCCCTTAAAAACAGTCTGAAGAAGACTGCAAATAGATGGAAACTTTTCTAGGCTATTAAATGACACTAGGCTTAGAGAGGTGGATTCCCAAATCAGATGACGTCCTCTTTTCCGATACCAAGGTGACTGTCATCTCGGAGTTAACTCAACATCTTATTCCATTGACACATCCTGGCCAACGGGAGCCAGTGAGAGAGGGAGATACTAAACTGGCATCTTTGATCTGAACCACAGTGAGAGAGGAGGGCACAGCGGGGGCACAAGCTCTCTGTCGCCCCACGGAATCACTCTGTCTCCACAAACACACCACGCGCCTCTTATTTCCCCCACATGGCCTCTCTAGAGTATCGCACAAGGATTTTAATGAGCAGAAGCCACATTTAAAAATAAACAGAAACTAAAGCAGAGGGATGAAATATCGGAGGTAGCGGGGGAATAGGGGATAGTGACATGAAATGATGTGGCCCGTCTCTAGCCACACACACGCACCTCTGGGCACTGCTCTCATCTCCTAGGACAGTGCGTGTGTGTGTGTGTGTGTGTGTGTGTGTGTCTGTGTGAGTGTGTGTGAACGCAGAGCACTAGCGTGGAGACGGCAGAGCAGTTACATCAGTCTAAACATTATCATAACAATCAGTCCCCTCTCTCAAAGCCACAGGAGATGTCAGAAGCACCACGGTCACCCCCATCAGTAGGAGTTTCTGCCATGCAACTAAACACAGTAACGGCAAAGAGGGAAAATAAAGTTTGAAAAAATACCTACCATCAAATGTCAACACACTCTGAATGTCAAACTTCAGAGCCCCCCTTCTTGTGAGAGGAGGAGCCAGAACTGAGAATGTCGCAGAATAAAGCCAGTCAGTTAGAGAGCCCAGGGGTGTTCCCAGAAAGGGGGGTGGGGGGGTTCACAATGTTCAAACAATGGTGGGTTTGTGAATGTGGATATAGTGAGTGTTTAGTCACTCCATTGCTTAGTTCCAACCAAGATGACTTTAAGCAAATAATGGAAGATGTACAGGAGCCAACTGCATTAAATTGTCCAAGACCTCACATCATACTTCTTCTTGTGTGATGTTAAACACGGTTGTCTCTCCTCAACTTCTCACATAGGAACATGTTCAAGAGCTTGGAAAGGCAGAGAGAAAAGCTCATCTGACAGCCTGGGCTGCAGCGTTTAGAGTCGGGGGTCGTATCGATCGGTTTGCACCACACTACACACGGTGGAGCCAAGTAAACTAAAGGAAGAAATGAGTGAGAGACAGCTGGGGAGAAAAGGGAGGGAGACTGATCATCACTTGTCCTCCCTAACAAGCCCTGTGCTAAGTAGTGTCACCATCCTGCAACCTGCTGGTTCACCTGGAAGTCCGCTTTGACTCCAACACCTGGGTCCGTATTCACCAGAATCAGTTTGGCCTTTTAGATCATAATGAATAAGATTACATACAGTAGACAGGGGGGACCTGATCCTAGATCAGCACTCCTATTCTGAGACACTTTGTGGATAAGGGCCCTGGACTACAGTCAAGCAGGCTCTTGAATGGTGTTGCACTCATCTCAGTAGCTACCTATAGTCTCTTGCACTTTGGGCAAAGTGATAAGAAATCTTTAAGGACTAATATTAACATGCACACCACCATACTCTCATATGTGGTACTTACGGCTCAACAATTCTATTCATTATGGTGCACAGGTAACGTGTGTGAGAGTTACCTTTTCTAACAACAAAAGTCTTGGTGACTATAGTATTGTACCTGAGGTCATAGTGACTATAGTACTGTACCTGAGGTCATAGTGACTATAGTACTGTACCTGAGGTCATAGTGACTATAGTACTGTACCTGAGGTCATAGTGACTATAGTACTGTACCTGAGGTCATAGTGACTGTAGTACTGTACCTGAGGTCATAGTGACTGTAGTACTGTACCTGAGGTCATAGTGACTGTAGTACTGTACCTGAGGTCATAGTGACTGTAGTACTGTACCTGAGGTCATAGTGACTATAGTACTGTACCTGAGGTCATAGTGACTGTAGTACTGTACCTGAGGTCATAGTGACTATAGTACTGTACCTGAGGTCATAGTGACTATAGTACTGTACCTGAGGTCATAGTGACTGTAGTACTGTACCTGAGGTCATAGTGACTGTAGTACTGTACCTGAGGTCATAGTGACTGTAGTACTGTACCTGAGGTCATAGTGACTGTAGTACTGTACCTGAGGTCATAGTGACTGTAGTACTGTACCTGAGGTCATAGTGACTGTAGTACTGTACCTGAGGTCATAGTGACTGTAGTACTGTACCTGAGGTCATAGTGACTGTAGTACTGTACCTGAGGTCATAGTGACTGTAGTACTGTACCTGAGGTCATAGTGACTGTAGTACTGTACCTGAGGTCATAGTGACTATAGTACTGTACCTGAGGTCATAGTGACTATAGTACTGTACCTGAGGTCATAGTGACTATAGTACTGTACCTGAGGTCATATGAGACACTGGTGGTGGCAGATCCTGTGGTACTAGCCGCATCTGTGGAGTCCAGGTCCAGACTGAAGGTCCGTCCTGAGCTGGTGCTGAGGAGTAAACAACAACAACAACAAGATCCATTCAAACGCTGGAATTATGGTGCTTGCATTCAGAGGTGCTAATCAGAGAATGATGGGGCCCCGGACAGGACAGAATAGCTCTAACATTGATGGTCTTATTTTTGTTCTTTTTATTCCAAACCTCACTAAGGAAAATCGACTTCTATTACTATGGCTCCTCACCCTCACCCTGTGACTGCAAATTCCAAGTCACTGTTCTGAGCCCATAATACAAGAGCCTGCATGCTAAAGGTGTGTCTGTGTGTGTGTGAGTGAGTGAAAGTACTACATCTAGCTAACGGAAGGACGTTAATGTACTGCTTCAAAGTCTACTCTCACAGAATCATCATTAGCTGTTCTCATCCTCCAGCTCAGTTCAGGCTCTACAGAGCTATGAGCCTATTCCACTTCTCACGTTCCAACAGGGTTAGTCCCTTTTTTGGAGTTGCACCAGCTAGTCCCCATCTATTGATTCTCCTCTAAGAAAGCTCTGTTGATTGTCAACATTCCCCAAAGTGTTTGCCTTTCTTTCATTTATTATTCAGCGCTGTTGGAGAGATGATAACCTTTACAGGAAAATGTAATTAAATCACTTCGTTCGGCACTTTGATGAAAATCATCAGAGTGGTGACCAAACAAAGACGGAAAGAAAAGAATGGTGTCTTTCAAAGGGAAATACATGTAAATGGGGGTAGATTGTTAGGGCCCAGAAAATAATTGCACTCAATCGAAGGCAATGAAGTCAATTTCAAATGTTTGCAGCTTCATTGGAAATCAGCATCATCGTGTACTGTAGGTCAATTTCCAGACAAAAGTCTTCCAACTTACACTCTTAGAGCTGGTTTCCCAGACACAGATTAATGAAGAGAAACTCCATTGAACATGCTTCTTAATCCAGGACTAGGCTTAATCTGTGTCCGGGAAACTGGCCCTTAACATCCACACCATTTACCTTTTGAGGCTTTGTAACTCGTCCATGGTGAAGTCAAAGATGTTGGCCATGTGATGGTTGGTGCTCCAAGTGGAGGTCAGGTCATTCTACACAACAAATCATCACACAACACACACCACACACAACACACACACTGTTGGTATCAACCATTGTCATAAACATTGCTCACATCATCATTATCCTTGTCCTCATCAGTACTGTCTATACACTGTCTATATGCTGTCTATACGCTGTCTATACACTGTCTATATGCTGTCTATACACTGTATATATGCTGTCTATACACTCTATTTGCTGTCTATATGCTGTCTATACACTGTCTATATGCTGTCTATACGCTGTCTATACGCTGTCTATACGCTGTCTATATGCTGTCTATACGCTGTCTATACACTGTCTATTTGCTGTCTATATGCTGTCTATATGCTGTCTATACGCTGTCTATACACTGTCTATATGCTGTCTATATGCTGTCTATATGCTGTCTATACACTGTCTATATGCTGTCTATACACTGTCTATACTCTGTCTATATGCTGTCTATACACTGTCTATATGCTGTCTATACACTGTCTATATACTGTCTATATGCTATATGCTGTCTATACAATGTCTATACACTGTCTATATGCTGTCTATATACTGTCTATATGCTGTCTATACACTGTCTATATGCTATATGCTGTCTATACAATGTCTATATGCTGTCTATACACTGTCTATATGCTGTCTATATGCTGTCTATACACTATCTATATGCTGTCTATACACTGTATATATGCTGTCTATACACTGTCTATATGCTAAATGCTGTCTATATGCTGTCTATACACTGTCTATATGCTGTCTATACGCTGTCTATGTGCTGTCTATACACTGTCTATACACTGTCTATATGCTGTCTATATGCTATATGCTGTCTATACGCTGTCTATATGCTGTTTATACACTGTCTATATGCTGTCTATACGCTGTCTATACGCTGTCTATACACTGTCTATACACTGTCTATATATTGTCTATATGCTGTCTATACACTGTTTATATGCTGTCTATACACTGTCTATATGCTGTCTATACACTGTCTATATGCTATAGTCTAATGACACTGCTGGCCCTGCTCACACTGCCCTACCCTATGCTTTGACTTCTTTCTCCCCTCTCTCTCCAGATAAAATCTTGCGACTAGTGACTGCAGGCCGCCCAACAACCTGCCCGCTTGACCCCATCCCCTCCTCTCTTCTCCAGACCATCTCCGGTGACCTTCTCCCCTACCTCACCTCGCTGATCAACTCATCCTTGACCGCTGGCTATGTCCCTTCCGTCTTCAAGAGAGCGAGAGTTGCACCCCTTCTCAAAAAACCAACACTCGATCCCACTGATGTCAACAACTACAGACCAGTATCCCTTCTTTCTTTTCTTTCCAAAACTATTGAGCGTGCCGTCTTTAGCCAACTCTCTTGCTATCTCTCTCAGAATGACCTTCTTGATCCAAACCAGTCAGGTTTCAGGACTGGTCATTCAACTGAGACTGCTCTTCTCTGTGTCACGGAGGCTCTCCGCACTGCTAAAGCTAACTCTCTCTCCTCTGCTCTTGTCCTTCTAGACCTGTCTGCTGCCTTTGATACTGTGAACCATCAGATCCTCCTCTCCACCCTCTCCGAGCTGGGCATCTCCGGCGCGGCTCACTCCTGGATTGCGTCCTACCTGACCGGTCGCTCCTACCAAGTGGCGTGGCGAGAAGCTGTCTCCGCACCACGTGCTCTCACCACTGGTGTCCCCCAGGGCTCAGTTCTAGGCCCTCTCCTTTTCTCCCTATACACCAAGTCACTTGGCTCTGTCATATCCTCACATGGCCTCTCCTATCATTGCTACGCTGACGATACACAACTAATCTTCTCCTTTCCCCCTTCTGATAACCAGGTGGCGAATCGCATCTCTGCATGTCTGGCAGACATATCAGTATGGATGACGGATCACCACCTCAAGCTGAACCCTGGCAAGACGGAGCTGCTCTTCCTCCCGGGGAAGGACTGCCCGTTCCATGATCTCGCCATCACGGTTGACAACTCCGTTGTGTCCTCCTCCCAGAGTGCGAAGAGCCTTGGCGTGACCCTGGACAACACCCTGTCGTTCTCCGCTAACATCAAGGCGGTGACCCGATCCTGCAGGTTCATGCTCTACAACATTCGGAGAGTACGACCCTGCCTTACACAGGAAGCGGCACAGGTCCTAATCCAGGCACTTGTCATCTCCCGTCTGGATTACTGCAACTCGCTGTTGGCTGGGCTCCCTGCCTGTGCCATTAAACCCCTACAACTCATCCAGAATGCCGCAGCCCGTCTGGTGTTCAACCTTCCCAAGTTCTCTCACGTCACCCCCCCTCCTCCGCACACTCCACTGGCTTCCAGTTGAAGCTCGCATCCGTTACAAGACCATGGTGCTTGCCTATGGAGCAGTGAGGGGAACGGCACCTCCGTACCTTCAGGCTCTGATCAGTCCCTACACCCAAACGAGGGCATTGCGTTCATCCACCTCTGGCCTGCTGGCTCCCCTTCCTCTGCGGAAGCATAGTTCCCGCTCAGCCCAGTCAAAACTGTTCGCTGCTCTGGCACCCCAATGGTGGAACAAGCTCCCTCACCACGCCAGGACAGCGGAGTCACTCACCACCTTCCAGAGACATTTGAAACCCCACCTCTTTAAGGAATACCTGGGATAGGATAAAGTAATCCTTCTACCCCCCCCCCCCCCCCCTAAAAAATAATAATAATTACAAATAATTAAAAAATAAAAAAAAATTGTAAAGTGGTTATCCCACTGGCTATAGGGTGAATGCACCAATTTGTAAGTCGCTCTGGATAAGAGCGTCTGCTAAATGACGTAAATGTGCCCTTGAGCAAGGCACTTAACCCTAATTGCTCCTGTAAATCGCTCTGGATAAGAGCGTCTGCTAAATGACTAAAATGTAAATATGCTGTCTATACACTGTCTATATGCTGTCTATACGCTGTCTATATGCTGTCTATATGCTGTCTATACACTGTCTATACACTGTCTATATGCTGTCTATACGCTATATGCTGTCTATACACTGTCTATACGCTGTCTATATGCTGTCCATACACTGTCTATATGCTGTCTATACACTGTCTATATGCTGTCTATACACTGTCTATATGCTGTCTATACACTGTCTATATGCTGTCTATACACTGTCTATATGCTGTCTATACACTGTCTATATGCTGTCTATATGCTATATGCTGTCTATACGCTGTCTATATGCTGTCTATACGCTTTCTATATGCTGTCTATACGCTGTCTATACGCTGTCTATACACTGTCTTTATGCTGTCTATATGCTGTCTATAGCTGTCTATACGCTGTCTATATGCTGTCTATACATGTCTATATGTCTATACACTGTCTAATCTATATGCTGTCTATACACTGTCTATATGCGTCTATAATGTCTAGCTGCTATACACTGTCTATGCTGTCTATACACTGTCTATATGCTGTCTATACACTGCTATATGCTGTCTATACACTGTCTATATGCTGTCTATCATGTCTTATGCTGTCTATACACTGTCTATATGCTGTCTATACACTGTTATATGCTGTCTATACACTGTCTATAGCTGTCATATCATATGTCTTATGCTGTCTATACTGCTATGCTGTCTATACACTGTCTATGCTGTCTATAACTGTCTATATCGTCTAACTGTCTATATGCTGTTTAGCTGCTGTGATACGCTGTCTATATGCTGTCTATACGCTTTCTATATGCTGTCTATACACTGTCTTTATGCTGTCTATACGCTGTCTATACACTGTCTATACACTGTCTATATGCTGTCTATACGCTGTCTATATGCTGTCTATACACTGTCTATATGCTGTCTATACACTGTCTATACACTGCCTATATGCTGTCTATACACTGTCTATATGCTGTCTATACACTGTCTACATGCTGTCTATACACTGTCTATATGCTGTCTATACACTGTCTATACGCTGTCTATACACTGTCTATATGCTGTCTATACACTGTCTATATGCTGTCTATACACTGTCTATACACTGTCTATATGCTGTCTATACACTGTCTATATGCTATATGCTGTCTATACACTGTCTATATGCTGTCTATACACTGTCTATATGCTGTCTATACACTGTCTATATGCTGTCTATACGCTGTCTATACACTGTCTATATGTTGTCTATACACTGTCTATACGCTGTCTATATGCTGTCTATACACTGTCTATATGCTGTCTATATGCTATACACTGTCATATGCTGTCTATATGCTGTCTATATGCTGTCTATACGTTCTCTATATGCTGTCTATACGCTTTCTATATGCTGTCTATACGCTGTCTATATGCTGTCTATACGCTGTCTATACGCTGTCTATACGCTGTCTATATGCTGTCTATATGCTGTCTATATGCTGTATATACACTGTCTATATGCTGTCTATACACTGCCTATATGCTGTCTATATGCTGTCTATACACTGTCTATATGCTGTCTATACACTGTCTATATGCTATATGCTGTCTATACACTATCTATATGCTGTCTATACACTGTCTATATGCTGTCTATATGCTGTCTATACACTGTCTATATGCTATATGCTGTCTATACACTGTCTATATGCTGTCTATACACTGTCTATATGCTGTCTATACACTGTATATATGCTGTCTATATGCTATATGCTGTCTATATGCTGTCTATACGCTTTCTATATGCTGTCTATACGCTGTCTATACACTGTCTATATGCTGCCTATACACTGTCTATATGCTGTCTATACACTGTCTATATGCTGTCTATACACTGTCTATATGCTGTCTATACGCTGTCTATACGCTGTCTATATGCTGTCTATACACTGTCTATACGCTGTCTATACGCTGTCTATACACTGTCTATATGCTGTCTATATGCTGTCTATACACTGTCTATATGCTGTCTATACGCTGTCTATACACTGTCTATATGCTGTCTATACACTGTCTATATGCTATATGCTGTCTATACACTGTCTATATGCTATATGCTGTCTATACACTGTCTATATGCTGTCTATACACTGTCTATATGCTGTCTATACACTGTCTATATGCTGTCTATATACTGTCTATACACTGTTTATATGCTGTATATATGCTGTCTATACACTGTCTATATGCTATATGCCATTATATGCTCTGTCTATATTTTCATCTGTGCACCTTCCTCCTTCCAGCCTGGCAGTATTAGCTTTATTACTAGGAAATGTCAGAGGTTTGTTGTTAGAGCAGAATGTGCCTGGGGACCAGACAGACACAGCACTGCTCTGAGGGATTTGTCAGTAAAATGCCTCAAAGGCCAACTGTAAGTAATCCCCTTTGAGTAGAACCGTGGAGAGAGAGGGATGGGAGCAATGACACACAAGGACTTCATGGTACATGGCGGACAGGAGATAGACTTTTAAAACAGGGACAGTGGTCTGACATGGAGGGAAACAAGAAGAGCACAGACAAATGGAGGAGGAGGAGGAGGAAGGGGAGGAAGATGAGGAGGAGGAAGAGGAGGAGGAGGATGAGAAGGAGGAGGAAGATGAGGAGGAGGAAGAGGAGGATAAGAAGGAGGAGGAAGAGGAGGAAGATGAGGAAGAGGAGGAAGAGGAGGAGGATAAGGAGGAGAAAGATGAGGAAGAGGAGGAAGAGAAAGAGGAGGAGGATGAGAAGGAGGAGGAAGATGAGAAGGAGGAGGAAGATGAGGAGGAAGAGAAGGAGGAGGAAAAGAAGGAGGATGAAGATAAGGAGGATGAGAAAGAGGAGGAAGATGATGAGGAAGATGAGGAAGAGGAGGAGGAGAAGGAGGAGGAAGATGAGGAAGAGGAGGAAGAGGAGGAGGAAAAGGAGGAGGAAGATGAGAAAAAGAAGGCTGAGAAGGAAGAGGAAGAGGAGGAAGAGGAGGAGAAGAAGGAGGAGGAGGAGGAGGAGGAGGAGGAGGAGGAGGAGGAGGAGGAGGAGGAGGAGGGAGGAATTCCAGCAACGTTGATAATCATCAGAGGTAGGAGAGAACAACTGCAGCAGGGATTTGTTCAACGTTCAGGCTGGGTGAAACAGCAGAAAGCTGGTTGGCACGACTAGAGTTCGATGTTTTGAGGGAGGATCTTGTGACAGTCAGAGAACTCACATTGGGGATGGCGTCCTCCAGTAGCCATTTTGATCTTTTCTTCCTCCTCTTCTCTGCAGGGAGAGAGCTGAGAAGAGACAACTTTCACTTTCTAATCACACAATATGAGTCCTAGGTGACAATTTGACACAGCCTAATATCATTCAGTGATTCCTGGGTGACAGTTTGACACAGCCTAATATCATTCAGTGATTCCTGGGTGACAGTTTGACACAGCCTAATATCATTCAGTGATTCCTGGGTGACAGTTTGACACAGCCTAATATCATTCAGTGATTCCTGGGTGACAGTTTGACACAGCCTAATATCATTCAGTGATTCCTGGGTGACAGTTTGACACAGCCTAATATCATTCAGTGATTCCTGGGTGACAGTTTGACACAGCCTAATATCATTCAGTGATTCCTGGGTGACAATTTGACACAGCCTAATATCATTCAGTGATTCCTGGGTGACAGTTTGACACAGCCTAATATCATTCAGTGATTCCTGGGTGACAGTTTGACACAGCCTAATATCATTCAGTGATTCCTGGGTGACAGTTTGACACAGCCTAATATCATTCAGTGATTCCTGGGTGACAATTTGACACAGCCTAATATCATTCAGTGATTCCTGGGTGACAATTTGACACAGCCTAATATCATTCAGTGATTCCTGGGTGACAATTTGACACAGCCTAATATCATTCAGTGATTCCTGGGTGACAGTTTGACACAGCCTAATATCATTCAGTGATTCCTGGGTGACAATTTGACACAGCCTAATATCATTCAGTGATTCCTGGGTGACAATTTGACACAGCCTAATATCATTCAGTGATTCCTAGGTGACAATTTGACACAGCCTAATATCATTCAGTGATTCCTGGGTGACAGTTTGACACATCCTAATATCATTCGGTGATTACTAGGGGACAGTTTGACACAGCCTAATATTATTCAGTGATTACTAGGTGACAATTTGACACAGCCTAATATCATTCAGTGATTCCTGGGTGACAATCTGACACAGCCTAATATCATTCAGTGATTCCTGGGTGACAATCCGACACAGCCTAATATCATTCAGTGATTCCTGGGTGACAATTTGACACAGCTTAATATCATTCAGTGATTCCTAGGTGACAATTTGACACAGCCTAATATCATTCAGTGATTCTTCAAGTAGAACTATTACACAGCCATTACCACTAAATTAGAACTTTCATCTTTAAATATTTGTTCTCTGTTAGGGGTAAATTAATGGTGGGAGGTCCTAGGAAACATAACATTTACATTATCATTTAACATTGATCAACACTTTCTGACTGAGCCAAGAGAGGTCTTGTAGCAAGTTAGCAGAAACCTCATTGAAATACAGTATATCCAGATTTTTCCCGGAAAACCAAAATATCAGCACATCACTACGGCGTGAAATACCTGTTCCTGCCTGCGCCTTTTTTTCGTCCTCGACATCCCTCATTCTGGGCCCTCTCGGGGAAGAGTTTAGAGGGAGGGTTGGGGGGAACGCGGGTCCTCAGGCGGAAGATGCATTTCCTCTTCTTGATCTCCTTCCCACAGAGAAACCTGGAGAAATACGGAGGAGGTGAGAAGGTCATGGTCTGGTGAAGGGGGTGTGATGTCAACAAATACACCTTCGGCCAAGTAACATGTTTGTTGTAACAAATACTGTATGACCAGAACAAACATTTAACAACTTACTGAATGTTGGGGGCCATACTATACTATTGTTAATAGCACATGAAAAATAGATTGGCTGATACAGTATAATATTGTTGCAGTACATGTATGCAGTTGTTGTAGTACCTAGTTTTGTTAAACCTAGCATTTACAGTTTTACACTTTATCTACTGTATATATAACAGAGAGAGATGTCTTACTTGCTCTTGTAGTTGTTCAGAGCATCAAGGAGATATTGGCCTCTTTCTGTTGGAGGAGTATTCGAGAGCTGTGGGGAATATCATAATGTCAGTCCGATGCAAATAGCTTTAAAAATATGATCTGGTTTTCACGAGACTGCATTAATCTGAACTTCCTATCCGGATTCCTATTCAGAATTCAGACAGGATTTCATTTGCCGTTTCTAACCTTGCCCAACTGGAAATGCTCCCAGTTGTTGCTGACAAAGTTGAGGATCTCCTCCAGCTCAAAGTACTTCTTCTTACTCTGGACTCCCAGGTTGTAAAGTGCCAAGTGCACCACATCCACCCTGGATAAGAAACCAGGGAGAATTGATGAGCTAAGCTCAACGCACAGAGATGAAATGAGAGGGAGAAAAGGTATGTACGTTCAACAAAATCTAAAGATGAGAACAGATTGTAATGTATCTAGAGTGATTGAGTGCGGAACCGGTTTTCCACACCAGCAGCATTCATTCACATGTATAATATCAGATATCAGATAATAAGGGATGATGATGATGGATTCCGTTGCATTCATAAATAATACAATTCTCAATTATACATCCATATGAGTTAGCAGATAGGGAATTGGGTTTAGCGAGATGTGTAAACGTAGTCCTCTTAATCAGATATTGTGCTGCCTAAATTGTTCACAGCACCCCGGTATGTATTAACAGTAACACAATGCAATACTGTATGACTGACTGTATGTTTACACTAGGACATTGTCATAAGCACAAGAGCACAATCATTCCACACATCCTCTACCTACTGTACTATAGGACACCAATGCCTTTTGTATTCTAAATTAAAGTATCCCATCTGGAGTCTCAGAGTGAGCCTCAGAGGTAGATAGGAAGAGTATAGTATCCATTTACCATCGGAGGGCCAGGCGCTTGATGTACTCCACTCCTTTATTACACACGGAACAGATGAACAAGTAAAACCTGAAAGAGAAAGGAAGAGCGATCAGAGGAGAAAGCACAGGTCATATGCCTCTAGGGGAAATCAAAAATCAATAGTGGTCCTCGGTCATATGGCTATACCCTCGGCTTCCATGACATGTCTATCACTTTCCAGACTAGAATTATTTCCCCTGACTTCCCAGGATTTGCCCTGACCGTGGGAACCCCCAGAATTAAAAACCTATTCTGTTTGATAACAATTCCACACACCTATCTCCAAACATCATGGACTCCTGTAGGCACTGGATACAGGCCTCATGGAACCACTGTTCACACCGAAAACACTGCAGCATCTTCAAGTACCACCTGGAAGGAGAGCAGCCATTAGTGAAAAGTAGTAGTTACTGAATGAGCAACATGTATCTGAATCAAATCGAGCTGCTTTCTAATAGAGTGGATATGTAAATGCTATGCTACAGTGTCTAGCCAGCACACTCACTCCCCAGGTCCTCCACAGTAGCAATAACACTGTTGGTGATTTGTGTGGTGCTGAGAATCCCACTCCAGCTCTTCTGGGTTGTAGGTAAGCACCTGCTTCATGGCCTGCAGTGCTTTTGCTATGGGCCCCTTTTTGAGAGCTCCCCCTTTCTGTGATGAGGAGAAACAGCCACGTCAACATGGTTAGGCATTATAGGACAGTGTTCAATAGGACACATCGTAGCAAAACGTTTTGGTAACAGAAAACAAAACTCAGTGTTCTTATTGGACGTGTTCAGGCAGTGCCTCCCCATTTCACTCCATTTCAAAACGTTTTCTCCCTGTTGAACACTACCCTAGACAAACAGTCATAATACAAATTATATTACAGTTATTTTAGTTTTTCTTGCTCAATTGAAGAGCAGCTTGTTCTTTCAATAATACTCACCCGCACAGCTAAAACAAAGATGCATCTCCTGCAAAACCATGGTGACAAATCCATTGAGCTCTCCACCTGTGGCATGTGACACTGCTGGTGGTAACCTGGCAGAAAGAGGACAACAATGAAAACATAATGCTTGCATTGGATAATCTCAAACCCGATAAATAATTTAATGAATTGACGGATTCATGAAACAGTGCTACTGCCGGCCATACTTTGAGCCACAGCAATGTGTTATGTTTATCTGGAGGGGGCATCCAGCCAACTCTAGAAGCTTTTAATCCTGTCCAGCTTTTTTGATCAGCAAATGTTGGGAAGCCAGAGAGTGGACTCCCAAAGCAATAAATTACTTTAATTAAGAGCCAAGTAGAAACAAAACCGACGAGACACTACAGCCTGGGGACAGGACCCTGCACAACTGTTACTATGGCCCCACCCTAATACATGTCCTTGTCATGGACAAAATTGTAGATCTCAGATGGGACCTGTCTCTTTAAGACAGACACCCATGGAAAGTACTTAGTTTAACGTACACAGGGTTTAAATGATGTTATGAGTCACAGAGGCTTTCTGTGCACTTTGTCCAACTGAACATTTTCACTGTTTCACTTTCAGAGATTCAATTACCTTTAGCAGATGACATGTAGTTACGTTACAGATGTGCCCATCTTCAGTTCTGTATGTTGTTCCAGTCCATTTACCACAGTTCAAATATACAGTTTATGCTCTTAGAGTTACACTGTCAAAGGCATTAAAATGCAGAAAGTTGTGGAAGTAAATATAGAAGCAAATAGAGCCCTGTATACAATGAGATCTCCTCCCACTTAACCACAATCTGTAAAGAACTGGCATCCACTTGTACAGTCGTGGTCAAATGTTTTGAGAATGACACAAATACTAATTTTCACAAAGTCTGCTGCCTCAGTTTTTATGATGGCAATTTGTATATACTCCAGAATGTTATGAAGAGTGATCAGATGAATTGCAATTAATTGCAACGTCCCTCTTTGCCATGAAGATTTACTTAATCCCCCAAAAACATGTCCACTGCATTTCAGCCCTGCCACAAAAGGACCAGCTGACATCATGTCAGTGATTCTCTCGTTAACACAGGTGAGAGTGTTGACGAGGACAAGGCTGGAGATCATTCTGTCATGCTAATTGAGTTAGAATAACAGACTGGAAGTTTTAAAAAGAGGGTGGTGCTTGAAATCATTGTTCTTCATTTGTTAACCATGGTTACCTGCAAGGAAACACGTGCCGTCATCATTACTTTGCACAAAAAGGGCTTCACAGGCAAGGATATTGCTGCTAGTAAGATTGCGCCTAAATCAACCATTTATCGGATCATCAAGAACTTCAAGGAGAGAGGTTCAATTGTTGTGAAGAAGGCTTCAGGGCGCCCAAGAAAGTCCAGCAAGCGCCAGGACCGTCTCCTAAAGTTGATTCAGCTGCGGGATCGGGGCACCACCAGTGCAGAGCTTGCTCAGGAATGGCAGCAGGCAGGTGTGAGTGCATCTGCACGCACAGTGAGGCAAATACTTTTGGAGGATGGCCTGGTGTCAAAGGTACAGGGATTGGACTGCTGAGGACTGGGGTAACGTCATTTTCTCTGATGAATCCCCTTTCCGATTGTTTGGGGCATCTGGAAAAATGCTTGTCCGGAGAAGACAAGGTGAGCGCAACCATCAGTCCTGTGTCATGCCAACAGTAAAGCATCCTGAGACCATTCATGTGTGGGGTTGCTTCTCAGCCAAGGGAGTAGGCTCACTCACAATTTTGCCTAAGAACACAGCCATGAATAAAGAATGGTACCAACACATCCTCGGAGAGCAACTTCTCCCAACCATCCAAGAACAGTTTGGTGACGAACAATGCCTTTTCCAGCATGATGGAGCACCTTGCCATAAGGCAAAAGTGATAACTAAGTGGCTCGGGGAACAAAACATCGACATTTTGGGTCCATGGCCAGGAAACTCCCCAGACCTTAATCCCATTGAGAACTTGTGGTCAATCCTCAAGAGGCAGGTGGACAAACAAAAACCCACAAATTCTGACAAATTCCAAGCATTGATTATGCAAGAATTGGCTGCCATCAGTCAGGATGTGGCCCAGAAGTTAATTGACAGCATGCCAGGGCGGATTGCAGAGGTCTTGAAAAAGAAGGGTCAACACTGCAAATATTGACTCTTCGCATAAACTTAATGTAATTGTAAATAAAAGCCTTTGACACTTATGGAATGCTTGTAATTATACTTCAGTATACCATAGTAATGTCTGACAAAAATATCTAAAAACACTGAAGCAGCAAACTTTGTGAAGACCAATACTTGTGTCATTGTCAAAACTTTTGACCACGACTGTATATAAGGGCACATCCTCCTTTAAGGGTCGTCAGACTCTACAGTGACTCACCTATTCCACATTTTCCACATATCAGGATCTCATTGTCGGACACCAGCACCATTTCAGAACAGACTGAGCATTTCGGCTCCTCCCCCGGAACTCCAGCTGCATGTTTTGGGAGAGAAGAATAGCATTTGGGTACATTCAATGATGATTATACTTCAGCTACATCCTACATGATGTCAGCATGTCAAAAGAACATACAAGATATTCAATTAAGAGTAATCTGCGAGGCATTACTGACATAAATTGGCCCTTTCAGAGAAAAGTGTCATTTAGACAGTTGAAGAGTTTGAAGGACAGCCAAGTCCATTAGGGAATAGGGAAGTGTCTAAATATACATTTAAGTGGCCTACTGTATAGTACAAGTGTCGGCTAAGTAATAGGAAGCCAATTGAAAGTGTTGAGGAATATGTTTCCCGGAATAAAGGAGCTTCATGAGGGTCCAGGGAGCTACTGTACAAAACTGTAATGATTTCCAGTTAGGATGTTATGTAATACTGTTCAAAGTGGACTACACATTTGTAATGGCTTTTAGAGAGAGCTTTTGAGATGTTGAACCTGTCTGGTGTAGATCATAAATTTATTGAGAATGTAAGTTTGACAGTTAAACCAATTCACACGTTTTTATTCTACACTGAGACAACAACAACAACATGAATATTCCAGTCTCTCTTCACTCACCATGTTGGATGTCTTTCCAGAGAACCCAGAATTTTGAATTATCTTCAAAAGTGACAAAGCAGCTCTGCTTGGAGGTACTCACCTTGAATGAAGTGAAAACAGATAGTATGAGGTGGGAGGCAAATTGTTTATTACAGTTTTATTCCAATAATAGTGTGTTACATTAGATTTTTCATAAAACACAAATGACTGCTGTGGTGCCTAAAATCTACAGAGAAACCACCATATTTGTGTGAATATTCCAGAGCAGTATTTGGGCAGTACACTCTTAGAAAAAAGGGTTCTAAAGGGGTTCTCCGGTTGTTCCCATAGGAGAACCCTTTTGGATTCCAAATAGAACCCTTTTGGGTTCCATGTAGAACCCTCTGTGGAAAGGGTTCTACATGAAACCCAAAAAGGTTCTACCTGGAACCAAAAGGGTTTTACCAGGGAACCAAAAAGGGTTATTCAAAGGGTTTTCCTATGGGGACAGCCGAAGAACCCTTTTAGGTTCTAGATAGCACCTTTTTTTCTAAGAATGTACTCATTGCTATGTAAATAAAATGAGTCCAAACCATTGAGTGGCAGTATACTATAGTATTTGACTGATAAAACATTGTCCTGTTGTGTTGGGGACTTACTCTCTGGATCTTCCCCAGGTAGTATAGGCCATCAGACCAGCGGCACAGTACATACTGGCCCACGGTCACGCTGCTTTCCAGGTCTGTGAAGCTCCACCCCCTCCCTCTCTTCTGGGGTAAATGCTTGGCCTCCAGCACCTCTTCCTGCTCCACACTGCAGAAGTCATCTCTGTAGGCTGACTGCAACATGCTGCAGCTGGGCTGTCCACACACTACTACTATTCCTAGGAGAATCGGGGCTTTACATTGTCATTGAGGTAGCAACTGTATGTCCTCATGATCACAACATTATGGAGGTGGTGGAGGTTGAACATTGTTGTGTCACTTTTTTATTTTATTTTTTAAATCAAATGTATTTACATGCACACACTGTAGACAGAAACCGTTGTTAAGGTGTCATAAGATGCATTTCCTGAAGAATAATACAAGAATAATACATCATGAAAGGGCCCCATGTAGCTCAGTTGGTAGAGCATTGCGCTTGCAACGCCAGGGTTGTGGGTTCGTTTCTCACGGGGGGCCAGTATGAAAATGTATGCACTCACTAACTGTAAATCGCTCTGGATAAGAGCATCTGCTAAATGACTAAAATGTAAATGTAATGAAATCCATTCCTTCAACATATTTGTTTTAACACCCCACCCCTGTTCTGATGTAGGCTGATGTCTGATGACTCAATCTGGATTTTGTACTGCGTGTAGATCACAGCATAGCCTACAGGTCTGACCAAGTTATTTTAAACCTCAGCCAACTATCACATTTGAATTTGACTTGTCAACGCAGTCGCAGATTGCAGCACTTGCGCGAGCCAAACTGGTCGTGCACAAGCATTAAAAAGTGGCATGGCAAGTTTGTAACAGTTAGCTAGTAGGCTATCAAACTGTAACGACTCTCGAATGTAACTTATCAAACTGATTACTGACTAGTTGATTGGCAAAATTATGTCCCGTCAATAAGATGGGCATATTGCCAACATAAATTGTTTAAAAGTATTTTATTTTGCAAACCTGATCGGACACTTTTGCCTCTCCTCAACTGCATGTCTTCTCACAAAACTCTAATTGCTAGCTAGTCTGCTGTCTAAACATTTTATAGTTGTTATATCAGCCATACAGCTTGGTAGCTAACTAGCTATAACTGCTAGTTAGCCAGCTAAACTGCAACTGTCAAACCAATGAAACGAATCTGTTGCTTGCCCCTGGGTAGTGTATCGCATATGCATTTAGGCATGGAACTTTTAGTTTAGCTTGCTAAATGTAATCTATGAATACCCGAAGGATGAGATTGAGCACGTTATAACAATAGTTTGCGACATTAAAAGTAGGACGAGGTGCAAAAATGACATCCAATTCAGTGAGCTGTCATTTAGCTGTAATAATGTATCTGGACTTCTCTTACCGCCTTGATAAACTTCCAATCCAGGATCAATGCTCGAAATAATGTTGCTGCTGTTGAGTAACGTTCCATTCGCTAGGAGTTGTCTATTCTTGCAATATGTGTACAGGCGCTAAAGTTCAAACTATGCAAGTCGCCATTTTTCATTTTTTCCCGCGAATCAATTTACGTTTTCCTTATGTAATTAACATAATCACATCATCATCGTCTTTATACAGGAAGTTCAACATTTCGCTCACTAGCTGCGGAGGAACATTTATTTAGCTTCTTCTAGTGAGCCTTAAACGTTTTCCAACTCTAAAAAAAAATTGTTTTTCCTTATTTTGCATTTTTAAACAGATGTATTTTCAAGCACTTTTAGTTATTATGATAATATCCATATCATTATCAATGATAGTAGTATCTTTGGTAATACAGCCTACCACTACTACTGATTATTACACAACACTGTATTACTAGCTATGCTACCCTACTCATCATCACACCATCATCATATGTCATCATTATCTTCATCATCATCGTTATCATCATCATAAATGTCATCATCATAAGACTCATAATTTATTTGTACATTTTTGTAAAGAATTAGGATTTTGAAATGCCTGTACATGTGTATGTTACATGTATGTTGCATGACTGAATGCATTAATGTTTTTGTATGTAATGAATAACACACACAACATTACATGAATATGTTCCAGTAATCAAATTCCTTGAGAATCTAGAATTTGATATACTAGCACTGACGTCAGATTGCGGATTCTGCCCTGTTTATTTGAGCTTACTCTTAAGCAAATAAAAAAATAATGAAATCCATAGAGATCCATTTATGTGAAGGCTCTCTGTTTACTTCCACAGCGCTGCTGTCTGTTTATGAGGATTTTGTTTATGGAATTATGCTGAGAGGAAATCTCTGTGATCAGTTTAGATGTCATTTAGTAGATGATTTTAGGGGACAATTATTTGGTTAATTCTATTTTTTTAAATATGTTCTGCTATAATGTCACTGCTATATAATATTTGTAAGTACTGCTATACACTTGTAAGACTTTTACAATTATCTTAAATGTTAAACGTTTGAGGCACTCTAAATGCAACTAATCAAACACATTGTAATGTTGTTGTAATTAGCCTACATGCAACTGCATGGACAGTTTTGAGAATGGTAACCACGTAGCTTACAGAGGGCATCCAATTTTATTCAATGTGTAACATCAAAATCTCCAAAATGTCACCTGAGAGCGTTTGGTGCCATGTCTTACTGAACCAACATTTTCCAAAAACAGCATAAAGAACATGGTGGTCTTTTGTAGCTCAGTTGATGGAGCATGGCACTTGTAATGCTAGGGTAGTGGATTCGATTCCTGGCACCAGCCATATGTAAAATGTATGCACGCATGTCTGTAAATTGCTTTGGATAAAAGCATCTGTTAAATGGCATATATTAACATAATGGGTGGTTGATACAATTCAGTGTTTTTATTTTATCTTTATTCAGCTCATGAATTCACTGTTATTTTTTAAAACAATATTATAATATCTAGTTAGCCGTAACAAAAACCCAATGATTGTCTTGAAATTATTTCTGAAAATGATACACCCTCGTAAATACTCAGAAGGTTGAATAACAACAGTCTGAGGAACAAGTACAACCATACAATGATATTTCTGAATTTTTTTTCTTCTTCTAAAGAATAGATTAAATATATATTTATATGTAAAGCAAAAAAAATATCTAGCTCTCTGAACCCTAAAAGTGTCCTCAACATAACATAAGGTTGGTGTGAAAACCAACGCATTCCTTAGTCCCTATTGTAATCCCCCCGTCCGTCCGTCCCCCCCATCCCCCACCCCTCCTTTGATAGATCATTTGAAGCATGGCTCAGGATGAAGTGTCAACAACACACTTGATGAAGATTGTGTCGTCTTTCAAGTAGGCATGCTTGGGCGAGCGAAGTTTACCAAGAGGGAAGAAAAGCGGGCAACCACTGGCCACATTCATTTCTGAAACAGGCCTTTGGAAGGATGATGAGGTTAGGTCGGGCCGGAAGGCGTCAATCACATGTTCTCTGTGATTCTGATCAAGCAGGAAGAAAGTGACCTGGCGAGGAGATATGCTGATTAGACATTAACATGTCTGACAGACACTCACAAGATGGCTGATAATTTTTTATTATGTTAATGATGCAGAGGGAAAGAGATGAGAACTACATCTACAAAGAGTCATGCAGAGTTTTTGTTGGGTTTTATTTACTGTAGAGACAAATCTCAAATAACATTTCAGTTGAAAACCTCATCCCTTTAAATAAACAATTTATGATGTATGTTACACAGGTATAACACAGAGAGCCTTCCTTACCTTGTGCTTGAATGGCCATGAGAGAAGTAGGTCATACTCCCCTTTCATGATCACAAAGAAAAGAGAGATATGAGTGCCCTTTCCCACCCCGTCACCATTCAGGTACAGCCTCATGCACACCTTGAATCCATACCTGGCTGTGTAGAATGCTAGAAGAAGGAGAGAGGACACAAACACAAAGTGTTTCAGTGGATACAAATAATATTGGCGGGAACTTGGTGCCTCTGACCCAGTGCTGTCTGTATAATGTTTCAACAAAGCATCTCCATAAAAACAATTTAGTTCAAATGAAGCACTTTCTAATTTAGGCCTATTTTATGTCATGTGCATAGAAGACTGTCTCTCTGTGTGAATAGACTGCCCTTCACCACCGGTTCCTCGGTTTTAGTTAAAGTTGGAAGAGTACTGTACCTGGAGAGTACAGGTTTGGTCTATTCCCATGGCCAGAGACGGCCTCCTTCATTTTGGAGCTGAGGTCAGACAGCTTCCAGATGAAGGTCCCGTCATAAGAGACCTCCTGGTGGGCGCTGAGACTTTGTTTCAGGGAGCTGATGACCAGTTCCTTCCTGGCCATTCTATGCTCCTGCTCTGTCACCTACAGGGCAATATTCAATTCAATTCAATACAACTTTATTAATCTCCTCAGGAGATTCAACATCCTCCACATACAGACGTCTTAATTTGATCACCATGTTGCAGGACAACTTTCCTGCAATGCAGAACATTTTAAACTTGTAGTGTATTTGACGTTTTAAAAGGCTTCTAGAGTTTGTAATTTCCACTTTGAAATTTCAGACTTGATTTTCCCTTACGAAAAATGTATCAACCCCTACAAAAATGTTAGTTATTTATAATCGTAGAGTTAAAAAAGTACTCGCACTCAAAACCATGATGAGGAATAACCCAAGGAGGCCGATTAAATTAATTGAATCCATGCTCAAAATAATACAAAAATTGAAAGTGCAAGGTGCTAATAAAAAATAAAAATAAAAAGAGCATGCGTTTCGGCCTTATGCCTGGCTTTCTACGTTATTTATAATTCACATAACAACTCACATTTCCTGTTGCTGCAGGATTATTTTCCTGCTGTAACAAACTGGCTTAAATTAAGATCCTACATCTGTATAATACAGTACACTCTTAGAAAAAAAGTGCTATCTAGAACCTAAAAGGGTTCATTGGCTGTCCCCATAGGATAACCCTTTGAAGAACCCTTTTGGATTCCATGTAGAACCCTTTTGGTCCCAGGTAGAACTATTTTTGGTTCCATGTAGAACCCTTTCCACAGAGGGTTTTACATGGAACCCAAAAGGGTTCTCCTATGGGGACAACCGAAGAACCCTTTTGGAACCTATACAGGGCCTATACAAACAACAGACATCACACAGAAAACATTTGTATTGTCATTGTTGTCAGATACATCTATTCTGTCCCCCCTACAATTTATTCTCTTCCCGCTGAACTTCCTGAAATATATTGTTGTTGCAAGTGTTGACATTGCATTGGTGCTGAATCATCTGAAGCAAAGACAAGTTTATATTCTCAGCCCCATTATCCTGGTCAGATAATACATAGACAAATATTATGTTTAGGATTGTTCCATTTCACCTGACTGTGATATGGGATATGATTATATGGAAAATATATAATTACTTCTCCTGTTTGTTCACTGTTCAAGAAAGTTATGTTTTTGATTTGAGAGAAATATTGGAGCATATGATTACAGTGAATACAACAGATGAAAACTTCTTGACAATGTACAATTACCTTGCTTTCTTCTGTTAATTAAGCTGACACATTTTAGTGGCCAGTGCAAAAAGCACAGAGACCATTGTAATGTGTTTCACTGATAAACAGGGACGGCTACAGGTATAAGCGACATAAGCGGTCGCTTAGGGCCACCCGGCCGCTAGGGGGCCCCCGACCCCAAAAATGTAATAATAACTTTTAAATGTTTTATTAGGAACTCAGTCAGGGTCTCAACTTACTGTTGAGGTTTACAATATTAGAATACACAAGGTGCAAGTTCGAAATGTGGTTGTGCGTCAGCAGTTTTTCTCTTGTTTTGTCAGTCACACAATTAGCCATGTCAGCTAACAATATTTAGATTGGTAAATTAGTCTAGCCAGTTATCTATACTTGTAGTAATCATGGCCGAATACTGACCTGGCACGGAGGGCACGTGCCCAGGGGCCCTGACCTCCAAGGGGCCCCCATTGATTTTGTTAGTCACTCTCACTCAGATCATTAACATGGCATAAGTCATGGCAAAATGTGTTGAATTGCAGGAAATATGTTCTTAAGAACAGATTGATCAAATATTTACAGTAGGAAATCCCCCAAAAGCTGAAATCCCCGACAGCTGTCACTGGATAATGACATATAGTTTCCTATTCATTATGAGTAAGGGCGTTGTTGAATTGTGATTTTCATAAAATGACTCACATCAACAATAGCTTGTGCATTCTGAAGACATATTTTGTGGTCTTTAATGGTATGGCATGTTTATGGCACTTTTTATGGCTCCTGATTTTGTATTCTGTTTGTTTGTCTTGTACAGTGTGTCTTTTTTGTCTGCTGCTGTTTGACATAAAATGTCCCCTTAGGATAAATAAAGTACCTATTGTATTCTACAGATGTAGGATCTTAATTTGATCACCCTGTTGTAGTAGAACTTTCCTGCAATTCAGGAAATGTTTAACTCGTAGTGTATTTTCAGGTTTAAAAAGGCTTCTAAAGTTCTTAATTTCCACTTTGAAATTTCAGACTTGATTTTTCCTTACGAAAAATGTATCAACCCCTACAAAAATGTCTATTACATAATGATTCACATTTCCTGTTGCTGCAGGATTATTTTCCTGCTGTAGCAAACTGGCTCAAATTAAGATCCTACATCAATATGTACTGTTACATGAGAAGAGGCCGTCTACTCTAAGAGTGAGGGAGGAATGCTTGCGGAAGTGGCATATAAATGGATATTTTTCAGGAAGGCCAAATTCATTCTAGGCAACAGTCCATTTTTCCGACCAATATGTGACATTTGATGCTCTCCCTTCCCCCTCACTGTTCAGCCAGACCAGCATTTCTTCAAGAATAGTGGGTGAATGCAGCAATACTTAGGCTACAATTCCACCACTGCAAATTAGGAGCATCAGAAAAGTTACTTTCTTGAACATATTAGCCTACTTTTGGGAGGATAGTGGACGCATGCACTTCTTAATGGTTGTTTTAAGAAGTATGATTCAACTGAACTTATTGGAGTGTGATTAAACTTTTTTGGAAGTTCACTGCGTGCTCTGGAATTAATCAGCTGGTCCACAAAGATGAGTTTATGCTCTGACTCAAGATATACTGTACCTTTATTTCTAAGTGATAAATCATTTCCTGGTTGCTCTGGTTCTCCCTCTCCACAGCCTCCATGCTCAGCTGGGTCTTCTCCACCTCCCTGTTCAGGACGGAGATGATGTTCTCCGATATCTGGACCCTCTGCTGCAGTGTGTCTATCTGACGCCCTAGGTCCAGGAGGATGGTCACCTGATCATCATCTCGCAGGCTGTGAGCTGCCGAGCTATCCCTTCCGTCCCCTCCTTCCGTCTCCAGCTCCCCATCCCCCCTTGACAGTCCCATGTCCCAATGCAGTGTCAGGCCAGACAGAGCCTCTCTGAGATGGGGCAGCTGCTCATCCATAGCCCTGTTCTCCTCCTTGCCTGAGGCAGGGGCTGTTAGTGGGGAGGCCTGCAGGTCACTGCTGGTGGTGGTGGCGGCACGCAGCAGGAGCTGAAGGTGGCCAACATGGCTACTGTTCTCATGCACTCTCAGCTTCTCTGTGGTCCCCTAAAATACATGGGATTAGAAGGCAAAAACATCAATAACTGTACTGCAAAAGCTTTATAATATGCCACACTCTTTGTATTTGATGCCCAATTTATTGTAATGCAATAATGGAATTAATAGAAACCTTAAATGTGCAACCAACTTCAGAGAAAACACAATACTCTTTTGCCTTGGAACCTGGAATAGGATTATTCTGTAGAATCAAGACAATTTTGACAATTAACATCTAATGTGGCAACAAAAAAGTGTTTCACAACAACCATCAGCTATACAACAAATAACATAATTGGATTTGACAGCCGCTACATTAAGAACAAACATATCTTTTCCTACCTTTCCTTTCCTTTGTTTTTTATCAGCCTTTTCCTCCCCAAGACTGTGACATGAGTGTGTCTGTAAAACAACACACAAAAATGTTGAAGATAGACAGAAACAGTCAGATGTAAGCCTACAGTTTTTTTTTCATAGAATCAATAGCTACATGAGATATCTAGTAATACCATTGATTAAGTACAGTATTACTTAAGTAGTACAGTAGAACAGTAAAGTAGTACAGTATTACTGTTTCAGTGTAGTGAGTAGTCTGCACTTAGAGCTTTTGCAATCGGTTCTTACAATCAATTGTATACATTTTATCCCGAATCATGATGCCCTACCCCCTAATGGTTAACCTAACTTTACTTGAGTCTAAAGTGTTCTGTGGCTTTCTGCTCCCCTTCGCTGCAGTCCAAAGCTCTCAGCAGCCCCCCATCCTCCTCAAAACACTAGCGAAAGGGAATATGGGGCAGCAGTAAACACTAGAGACCCTGCAGCTTCAGCTGCGCTGCGTGGACCCCTCCAATGTCATACTGAACCAATCTCCAAGACCCCAACCAAGGTTTTTCACTAGAGACCAATTCCAACGTATTTTTGTTCAAATTCCCTACTACTGTAGCTCCTGCAGTTTAGAACTACAGGAAACTACGCTGGCTATTTATTTCCATAACTCCATTAGTCAGCATGCACTACATTTCTATTGGGGGTGTTCCAAACTTTCAAAATTCATGGAACTCTTTACGTCTTATCTAGCCATTTTGTAGGAGGAAAAACACTTCATACCAGGGCTGAACATCTGAGAATGTCAGCGAGACCTGTCAGTGGCAGTACTTGCAACTCAGATGAGGTGGTTAGTTTGACAGCTACTGAATGCACTGCTGGAACTGAATTATTTGGGCCTGTCTTACCTGTAGCTCTATGGGGCTCATAGAGTGGCAGCATGCGGAGCACACTGACATGTTGTTTGGACAGGCCTTCTCCAGGTGGCAGGCCAAGGCCTTTCGCAACACCATGTGACCACAGCCTATGTTGCAGGGGATTAGGGCATACTCACACTGCCCCTGGTGCTCCTGAAAGAGGATTCAAGACAATTCAGAAAGGACAACAAAACAATTGATAACCAACCCGAGCTCAGCACAACATTTCAGTGAATCAATTAATTTCAACATCAACATCTCGATCTCAGCGCAAAGTCAATATCAGCCATCAGGGGCCAATTTTTTCTGAACTTGATCTAGATCATTCAAAATAGACCTCTGTTCTTTTTATTAGATTCTGTTTCCCCTTCTTTTTCAAATAAACTTTCAAAGGCAACATTTCAACTAAACTTTATGAGATGATATACTTATAATAAACAACCTAATTATCTTAGCAACATTGGATGATGTATAATCAGTAAGTATTGTCCTCATTAGAATTGTAGCATTGGGATCGAAATAACTTAGCTCTAAAAATGTTTGAATTATTTTGGCACCAATTTAAAAGATTTGGTCTGAGTTTTCTACAAGAGAACTTGGTATTTTAATTTAGTTTAGATGACAAATTGGCCCCTGACCCTGATCTAATTACGTAAGTACTGTAAAGAACATTTTACATTTTACCTACCCATTACAGTGTTTATTTTATTTTATATAAGTCTCACTGTCACAAAAAAGTAGATTCTTAATTGTATCGTTCAAATGTGTAAAAAAGTGTCAATACCTCAAAGTCCTTGAGAATACTCCTCCAGGAGCAACCTTGGTTAGCACAATGCACTTTCAACTCCAAGATCTCCTTATTGATGGCTGCATCACTGAATAACTGGAGTAACACATCGGAGAATTAAGATCAACTTTTAGTACTTAAATGACTAATTCAGTACTTCCACTTTAAATCACTTTAATCCTCAGAGGGAAAATGTTTATGCATAATAAAGAATGGCCTGATTTCTATTTATCACACTGCCGATTTCTTCAGTGCTATACTGGTTTGAATGACAAAGTTTTCCGGCTCTCATTGTTGTGAGCTAATACAGTTTGAAGTAGATCTTTGAAGTGCTGCTGTCTGTGTCTCTATACTGTTGAATTTCAGAAGCAATAAACACACAAAGCCATTCTATCTCTTTAATCAGCATCATAATAATCATTCAATACAACAGTAGCTACTTAAAACTGACGACCAACAATGCACCCACTGTGGAAGGAACAGTCGGAGGCAGTCAAGCCTTTGCTTTGTGACCATAGAAAAGGGAAGGTGAATGCTAAATGTAAGATACAAAATGTGAGTTACTGTTACAAGCTTCAGCAATTAGTTTCCATTGCGCTGTGATGCTCGCTAAGTACTCAATGTTCCTCATTAACCCGATTGAATCAAAATATAGGAGTAATCCGTCATGAAAATATATTTTTCCAAATGTTCCGTCATATTGATATGAATATACTACGGGCCCATTAATTTAGCACAACACACCAACATTCTAATTAAACAAGTGAGCTGATTATGGAGTGTCTGTTGTTCTGATCAGGATGTTTGGAGGAGCTCATGCTGAACCACATTCTGCTGGGCCTAGACTTAGATCACAAGCATTCGGTTACGGTGATGACCAACATGGGCTCATTAGAATAAGTCAAAAATAATGCCTTTTAACCATTGTAGTTATATGTCACGTATGCTAACGTATTAGTTTTATGTTACCTGCTGACTTAACATATTACTTATCACTATAATTATTGGTGAGACACATGTCTCAGTCATAGAAAAATAACACTGACTTTTGACTTGAATGGGAATATCCTTTTTAGTAATTATTTTTCTATGGACTCAGAGCCTCAGCAATGGACTAATTCACATCAGACACATTTCAACTTGTTCAACATTGTGAACTCTACAGCCATTCTATTTACACCACTGAGAAGAGTTAGACCAGAACAATGAAATAGTTTAGGTCAATGCAATTCTCTGGTGAGTTCAATTTCTATGGCCTTTCATCTAAAATCAGAATATAGGCTCTGATTAGAAGGGGTAGGGCTCTATTCAACCCCTAGCGCTGAAGAGCTGCGCTACAGTAGACATGTAATTAAAGGTCATGTTCCTGCTTTAGCGGAGACTGCATTCACGGTAAACGCTGCATACGTCAGATAATAGTAGATAATTTAATCTATCCAGCTACAATACTTACTATTGCACATTTATTTTGCATAGGAATTCAAGGGCTTAAATGCCAGAGGTAGATGGAAGGTAGATGAAAGGTAAATGCCCGAGTTAGATGGAAGGTAAGGGAAGGTAGGTGGAAGGTAGATTGGATGATAGATGGAAGGTTGAGGAAGATAGCTGGAAGGTTGAGGAAGGTAGATGGATGGTAGATGGAAGGTAGATGGAAGGTTGAGGAAGGAAGATGGATGGTGGATGGGGCTGGAGAAATGTAAACACTAGACGGAGCTATGGATGCAAGGATTGACCCTCCATGAGATCAAAATTATAATTTTAACCATGTTTTGAATCATACCCGTGTTTATTAACAATTACATTGTTTACAAACAATGGAGTAAAACAGGCTTGTATTTTGGTTTCTGATGGGTTACGACAGTTGAGCTAAGCTCATGAGGCATTTATAAGTTATATTCTTCAACAATCCATGGCTATATATCATAAATGTAAAAGTTAAAAAAGAATGTACCATCCCAGATTGCCTCTTTAATGTGTTGTTAAAGAAGGTTTGTCTGCAGAGCTATCTACAGTAAGTTATGCATGACATAATTGTTTTGGGTCCATAATCAAGGTCATATAGGTCTGCTGTATCATTCAACCCTATCAACTTGTGCTATTCCAGCATGTATACAAAGTTCAGTAATGCTATACATACATTGTCTGATGTCAGTATGCTTGTTTCACTCTCTGAGCTTGGATCTTCTTCTTTGCACATCTTGCAAACAAGGTTGTTGTTATTACTAAATAACAACAATGAACATATGGGATTAGATTTATAATACAATATACACAGATATGTTAACAGAATTGTAATATCTTAACTTAACTTAAGGGAAAGGCAAAAAAGGGAAACTTGTAGGCTGTGTTACATACTGGCAAGAGTGTGGATGATATATGAGGAAATGGTTAACTTTGGTTATTGTTGAAGATGTTTCACAAAATTTATAATATAAATAATTGAAATGCCTTACCTCACTAACCAACTGACACAAGCGAGGCAGTAGCGGTGGCCACACAAAGTCTGACGTGCCTCATTCAGTACGTTATTACAGTTGCTGCACAGGTACTTCTGCTGGGGTACATCATCGCAAATACTTTGAGGAAATCCAGAAGGATACTCATTTTCACCTGGTGCAGATGGATCACTGTGTAAGTTGCCAGCTGGTTTTAAACTAGACTCCATTTATAATTCACCAAGTTATGTTTAAGATGGTAATTGTCACTATTCTCTCCTACTATATGATGTGTCCATTAAATAGTGTCAACCTTTGTAACCTTTTTGAACTGAGAAAACTACCGTGGGTTTCCCCTCTGCGGTAACCTGGAAACATGTTAAAACCCCATGTGGTGCCGAGCAATGTTGTACTTTACGGTGAGTAAGTTATCAACTCCAAGCATGGTGTGCAAATGAGGGGTAAATATTTCCTGGAGCCAGCTTACGTAATGTTATTACCCCCTATCTCTCTCTCTCTCTCTCTCTCTCTCTCTCTCTCTCTCCTCTCTCTCTCTCTCCTCTCTCTCTCCTCTCTCTCTCTCTCTCTCTCTCTCCTCTCTCTCTCTCTCTCCCCTCTCTCCTCTCTCTCTCTCTCTCTCCTCTCTCTCCTCTCTCTCTCTCTCTCTCTCCCTCCCCCTCTCTCTCTCCCTCCCTCAAACACACAGTTATTGTAACCTGTTTCTCAGAAATTGCAAGGGGGTTCAGTTGCCTCCACGGCCGTCACATCCGCCAAATAGGAAAGTCCCTGTTCCACCACTTCCACACATCCTGCCACTCAACACTGAACACTGCCCCTGATTTACGTGACAAGTTTGCCTATGTTGCTGTTTCTGTCAGTAAAAATTGATTGTTTTTTTCAATATACAGAATAACTCAGTTAGGTAATTGAAGATGATTACAATAATGAGCACATTACTAAAACATGGCGGTTGTAAAAAAACAACACACAACACATAATATGAGATAAGCATTGACTCCTCATAAGGTCCCATAAACCTGACCCATAACTATCTGCTTTGTTGTTTCATGGCAACAGGCTGCCATGGCAAAACTAACAGTGATGCAAGTGATCTGCAAGGATGTTTTGAAAGTGCAGTTTACAGGAGCATTCACAATAGCCCAGATCCATTTCTCTTTGCAAAACAGCATATTTTCTATTCACATTAGTATTATTCTAAAATAATCAGTTCAAAGTTGAAGCACTGTACAGTACAACCAAAGATACTAGTAACTAACCCAAGATACACCACCGTTGTTGTTACCAATTGGAGCAAATTAAGCATAGGGGGCAGAACAAGCAAGGACGTGGGCAGAGCCAAGCACAAGCTAGCGAGATCCTATTGGCGCTTTCTAGCATGTATTTGCATATTTCCATTAGGGAACCCCTACTCTGTGAAGTGCTTGTGTGCAATAACTCAATTCGCCTTTGCACTCCTTCTATCAATGCAATTTTTCGAAACTTTTAGAAAGATTAATGTTTACAAAACGTATTGCATTCTGTTCGTAACAGACTCTAGTTTTGGGAACAAAAAACTGTATTGAGATTGAATTTTTCATCAATTTGCAGAATGTCATCCAAGTTTCATCTAGCTCTATCTTCTCCAACTTTCTGCCACTGGACTTCCTCTCATCACCATATTTGGTGGTGAGTGGAAGTTCTAAATGGATGCTTCAGATTACCCCCTACCCTACGCGCATACAGTTAGGCCCTGAAGCTTAGGCTTATGAACTAATGTCAGATAGCCTAAAATAATGAAAGAAAAACCTCAATGTAGCCTATAGATAAGATAGATAAGTTGCACAAGAATTATACATTTATGGTTTTTTAAAGGTATTGTTTTCTCTTTATTCAACCTGCCCGCGACCCACCTTCCCTTCATCCAACCAATATTTCATGTCCCTAAACCTGCCGGTATAAGCATGTGGACTGCGGGTTATGAGTCAACCCACGCATCACTAACTCTCCACCCCTCTTGTTTTACACATTACTTGGACACCTCCCTAAATAGGAGAGATTTTCTAGATCTGACCGTTTGTGTCAGTAACTGTATGCAGTTCAGTCTGAACACACAAAGAACTGAGAGTTGTTGTAAACATCAAACTGTACTGTCTGTGTCTATGTACTTCACTGAGCCTGATAAGGAACAGACCTGGGTTCAAATCAAATCCTATTTAAAATTATTTCAAAAACTTGATCTGGGCTTAATTTGAGCTTGCCTGGCACAATGGAACCAATAGAATAATCACGAGAGTGCAAACCCCTCCCATTTGGTACTCCCGGCAGAGTAGAGCAAACTAGAGCTAAAGTATTTAAAATATTTCCAATAGTATTTGAACCCAAGTCTGCTGAGAAACAGAACAGAAACACAGGCTTCTTATAGGGTAATGATGACACACCGTATCGCTCCCCATTTCCTTTTGTACTCCTCACATAACAGCCCTTTGCTGTGAAAATGTAATTGTCAAATACTTCACCCAATGAGTCTATTGCTGCCATATGATGGGATAATTAGAGTGCTTGGCTGGACGGGGCACACACAGTTGAGGACTCTCTGTTTATGCATCAACTACTTGTTTCCTGGTGCCATAATGGCCTGTTGTAAATTGCATAATGATGCTTGGATGTCATCGGCTATTCCATCCATCCATTGAATTCTTAATGCTTAGCTTCCTCATTGACAAAGGTTTGTTGTGCCTAAAGCCATAATTAATGTGCTCGCTTCAAGACTACTCTAGATATTCAACATACCCCATTCCCTTTTTAAAACGTGTAGACATGCCACACATAGATTGCAGCTGTTTGATACCATTTGTACTTTTTAAACTATTAACCATTTTGTCCTGCTAAAAATATTGCAGAAAATAAATAAATTCTACCAATCAAGAGATTGGACTTCTTTCCTTCTTTCTAAACTAGGCTAACTTCCCACTGACATTTCCAAAGGCACCGTCTCACCATTCCTGGTCTGTAACACTTGATTGCAACATTTAAAGATGCCTGCAAGAGGGAGCTCATATTATTTCAAGTGGTCAAAGTGTCCAGAAATTAGGCTTTGCAGAGAGAGAGAGACAGAGAGAGAGAGACAGAGAGAGAGAGAGAGAGAGAGACAGAGAGAGAGAGAGGAGAGAGAGAGAGAGAGAGAGAGAGAGAGAGAGAGAGAGAGAGAGAGAGAGAGAGAGACACACACACAATCTATTCTAGGCTCATCTTTTCAATTACCTACTTATGAGCCCCCCTCTAGAAAGCCTTGTTCTAGCCTCCCTGACTTGTGAAGAGTAATTACAGGCATAGATAATATAACATGGGGATGACACAGAAATAGTTCCAATGCACCAACGGAGACTCATTTACAAAATGAGTATTTAATAAATGCTGTTGAGAACATTCAAACACAGTCAAAGGATTCAAGAAAAAGCAATGGACATCACCATATCCCGGGAAATAGCCCGGTCAGGAGAGTTGGTTTAGATTGAAAACATCCAGAGCTAATAGTCATTGTAGTATATGGTAGACTGTTTACAAATGTCTGCCTGGTCTCATTCCGTTCCACTCAACAAACCATTTCTGCTTCTTTTTTGGTTCATGAACAAAAAGAAAAATGGAGCGAAAGAGAACGTTGATGGACATTGTGCATTTAGGGGGAAAAAACGATGAGAACAGCAGAAGTCAGTCGTCTTCCTAAGGGGGAGTTAAACTGAAGAACATGCACAATTTCACGCCTTAGTAACTTCCACGGATGGTGGGTTAGGCCTATTAGGGTCTTGGATAAGGATGCAGTTCAACAGATCACCACTAGAGGTTCCAGAGGTCCTTAAAGTCACAGACACTCATTTTCAGGGAGGATATCATATTTCTAATATATCATAGCAGCCTATTTATGTAGAAAAACTATATTTTTGTCCCTCCCCCAAATTACAAACTGACAGTAGTCTCTTATTTAGAATGTTTTGTTCAACATCTCTCTTATCGTGGAATCATAGATTATCATCTAATTTTATTGAGCTATACCATAAGGCTACAATCATAAGAAAGCAAGCTTGTAAAATGATAAATGTTAGTACTTAGTACATGTAAGATACCTTTATTAAGCTTCTAAACATAAGTTACCACCCAGCCCCTTCAAACCTTCATCTTAAAATGCTGTGATGAGAGAACTTTACACATCTAAACAATGGTTTATTTTTTAATTCCTTTTGAGACAAAAACATAACAATTCTACTGTATGTCAATCTCAACGTATCTGCTTTTAAAGTGCTCATATTGAACTGAGGGCTCTTTTACAACAACAGCATTCCATTATAAACAGACTCAAAATAATATCAACATTAAAATTTCACCTTCAAGCTGGAATCCTTAATGGTTAAACTGCCACATTAGATTGCGATATTACAACAACAAAGAAGTTACTGTAAACAACAAACACAGTTTTTTTCCCAACGGACATCTCTGCCCTGCTTCATGAACAAAACAATAACAACGGCCATGGGGCGGACAGTGGCGCAGTTTCCCCTACTGCCGACTCCATCTTTTGAGCTTCCGCTAAACTCTCTACCTATCACATATTGGTGAGGTTAATAAGATATGTTTTCACTCAACCTTTAAATGGAAACACTAGCCACATCATGACAAAACAAACAGAGGTTAAATAAGGAAATAAATACATGATTACAGTAAATGAACAATGGTGCAACATAATACGGAATTCATAGTAAACACATAATGTTGTCTCAAGACTCCAAGTTGTGAGCCTCAATATGCCATTGCAACTTTGTAACAGCAAATGTTTTACATTTTTGTCATTTAGTAGACACTCTTATCCAGAGCAACTAGGGTTACGTGCATTGATCAAGGGCACAGCAACATATTTTTCATTTAGGCTGCTCAGGGACTTGAACCAGTGACCTTTCGGTTACTGGCCCAGCAGTCTTATAGGCTACCTACCTGCCGCTAACCTACCTGACACGTTGTCATTCCGACTTTTACAGCTTAGGAGGCACCACACAGATGTAAAATTGTCAAATCACTGTAAAGGAGAAAAACACACTATACAGTCCTACTGTACCAGTGACACAATGCCATTCAACGCCTGGTCAAATGGCTGCTTTTTGCGGGGAATGAGTTGCCAGCAGTCGTTGTATTATGACACAAATAATGTGTTTTGGATTGATTTTTCTACTGTGGGTGCCCGTAAGGGAATCTCAATATTTGGTACTCTGACTGAGTACAGAAAACGGTTTGCCTTACTTTATTAACCACCTCCTGTACACACGCTTCACTGAAGAGGACTGAGACTAGAAGGCTGTGTTTACACAGGCAGCCACATTCTGATCTTTTTTACACTCATTGGTCTTTTGACCAATCACATCAGATCTTTTCACATCAGATCTTTTTCAGAGCTGATCTGATTAATGAATTGGGCTGCCTGTGTAAACGCAGCCAAAAACCAGTATACTGAAACGACTGATTTCAGTTGAGTCAAGACAGCATATCGGTGAACAGACTTGTCTCTCAGTGATTGTAAAGTAAAGGATAGAAAGTGAGAAACAGGGAAGCCTCCTCAGACAACGAGCTGAACGTATAGGCTAGTAGCTACTGTCTGAGAAGGTTTCCACCACCAACTGGAAGTCTACACAGATCCAGGCCTCTGATTATAATTGGCCCAGCCCGCTGGCCCAGCCCTCTCACCTACGCTCTTCATTCTCTCTACTATCATTGTAACAGGTCACACACGCATGCCGCTCAAAGCCACTCTTGTGGGGTCACTGTCTTTTGAAAATGTTACGTAAAATACGAGGCTGCCATTTGTGAAGTGATTGGCTTGAAAACCCCTGTCTCACTGATATAATGTCTTTGTCAAGAATGTGTCTTACTGGGCACAGGACTGACACATGATCACAAGGTATGTCTAGGGGTCAACCAGGAGCTAGGGGTCAACCAGGAGCTCATGTAACTGACTCGGAGAGCTAACACAAGTCTCCAGGTCTCAAGCAAGGTTACTCATCAAGCAAACTTGGTTCACTGAAGCCACTTGCGTAACACTTAGGAGAACTCAGGATGCTGTCAGATGCAAAGTTAACTGTATATACAAGCAACAGGGACAGACAAAATAAACTGTAAGAAATTCTATTAATTTAAGGGAATGAGAGAAATCCTAACATTTCATATTTCAAAATTCCACAACGATACTGTAGTATTGACATTGCCTGCATTATTTTCACATAATTATTACAAACATGATCAGATCAGCGAGAGATTGCAGAAGGTTACAAAACCTCGGAGGCTTCAACACAACACCACAAGAGGGGATTAGAATGTTTTTGGACAGGGATTACAGTACGAGCAGAGTCCTCATTCTCATTCTCGGCAGGTTGAGTGTCATTAAAAACACCTAAGTCCATTAGTCTATGGTTTCTCGTAATATCGTTTCCATCTCATTTGTTCTCCTCTCTCGTGGCCCTAATCTTCATCTCAGTGAATTTGAGGGAGTACTGCCAGCCCGTCCAGGAGGACCACTCGATGCCGTCGGCGTAGGAGGTGTGCTGCCCACCCAGGTACTGTCCGTTCAGGTTGGACGTATGGCAGTTGCGGTACCACCAGGCGCCGTGGTAGAAGGAGGCACAGTTGTTCTCTGAGTGGTCGTTATCTTGGTCCTTGGTGGTGAATTTCATCCCGTTGTGTTTGAGCATTGAGTCGCCTTACAAAGACAGACAGACACACAGAGAGACAGAGAGACAGACAGAACAGAAGGAGGGGTGGGTGCAGCAGCAGGGAGTACAGAGAGACAGAGAAAGAGAGGGAGGGTGGGGAATGAGAGATGTTGAATGTTAGCGCTCACCTCCTTCACATCCAGCATTTTAGCACTTTTACATTTTGGCAGGATCATGATGACATGTATGGTGGTATATGTGTGAGAGGTTTAACAACAAGGACCATTACTGCTGCGTGAAATATAACAGTATACTGCTAATTGAAAAAAATTGAAAACCACAGGGACAGGGAAGTCAGTTACTTCCCTATAGCCAGGTTCTATGTGTGTGTGTGTGATTGTGTGTGCGTGAGAGAGATATGTGTGGGTTGTGTGTGTCTGTGTCTGTGGTCTTGTTCTTCTATCCTCATGGGGACCTGAAATCCCCAAATGTCCCAACAAGAATAGTAAAACAAGGAAAATTGTCCCTCGTGGGGGCATTTCCCACATCCCAATGAGGACAAAGGCTATTTTAAGCTTAGGGGTTAGGTTTAGGGTTAGGGTTACAATTAGGGTTAGGGTTAGAATTAGGGTTATGTTTAGGGTTAGGCGTTAGGATTAGGGTTAGGGGTTAGGGAAAATAGGATTTTGAATAGAAATACATTTTCGGTTCCCATGTGGTGTGTGTGTGTGTCTCTTCACAGTCTTCAAGAACAAAACAAATCATGCGGTCTGTAAGAATCCCATAGCATTGTCATAGGAGTAGGAGAGTTAACCACGGTGTCCTGGCTAAATTCCCAATCTGACCTCTCATACTACAGTGCAACTTGGTGTTCTCAGCCAACTCACCTGGAAAAACAAGAGTTAAATCTGTCTCTACTGAGGCTCCTGGTGGGAAATTGAAATATACAACAGGATCTGTGCTCTGCATTGTGTGATAGATGGGGATAGATTTTCCTCATTACCATCAGCCCAAGATTACAAGACAATGAAGACATAATATACTGTCTGGAAGCAAAATAAACATCTGAGAGGATATCAGCACAAGAAAACAAGGTGCTATGTGGGCAAGAAGCAGCTGTCTGGTCCAGTCACAGCAGAATCAGCACCTGCAGAGTAGAGCTTGGTGATTCACTGAGAGGAGATTAACATGCCACTGGCTGCTACATTACATCCCTGAGACATACAGTACACCATAGGGTTTAATAAGGCCACCACTACTGCCGTACATAAAGCCTACAGCCTCTCTACCTGCCTCCCTCTGATCTGCACGCACACACACACACGCACACACACACGCAAACGCACACGCACACGCAAACACACGCACACTCTAACACACCCACACTACACACGCACACACACACACGCACATACGCACACATGTACGCACGCACGCACGCACACACACGCACACAGCTAACACATTATTCTTAGCATTATTCATTTTTATTTATTTTCTCTTTCTTCTTATTATTTTTCTTTATTCGTAGTGTTCTTAGTTAAAATGTGTGTTGCTGTTCCTGTCCATTAGCGTTCTGTATTTTGTCATGCTTTATGTTTTGTGTGGATCCCAGGAATAATAGCTGCTGCTTCTTCAACATCTAATGGGGATCCAAATAAAAATCATAAAGATGAAAGAGCGTGGTGATGATACTAGTAAAATCATGCAATCACAGTGTTTATTAAGGAAAACTGTAGTCCTATGTCAGTCTGCCTCTCTTCCTATGGAAGATGTACCCCGGAGCAATGTAGGCCTACCTATTGTTCCTCTAATCAACAAGCTCGTGGATTACCGATAAAAAGGTTGGCAACCTTTATAATATTTAATTATTGTAAACATAGTGACGGGATATGATAATGAAACACTGTATTAATGATTAACATCTTAAACTCCATAAGACGCTTCCGAAAAAGGATGCCTACTGTACCATTATAAAAATATAATGCAATGTAATGTAGGACACGTTTGAATAAAAAAAATCAGAGAAGAAACCTACACGAGAACAGCGAAAGTATTTAAACATGCAACAGAACTCATAATCATAAGGAATACATTAAAACATCAGAGAGAATTTATGCACTTCTCCACGAGCATTGTAGGAAAAATTATTCAACACTCCTGGGTAAGCGTATTCCTTTTTGGCCCTCCTAATGAAATGGTTAAAATATTTCGGTTAGGTAACAAACTGTCATTAAAGAGTTTCTTTTAAGTTCTGAGAGTAAGCACTCAAGGTGTTTACCATTACTAGGACACTCAGGCAGTGGGCCTTATAATCCACAAGGTAATGCAACCTCGAGCTTCTCGTCTCTCGATAGAAGCAGAGAGCGATAGAGATGAGCAGAAGAGAGAGAGAGAGAGGAGGAGGAGGAGAGAGAGAGAGGAGAGAGAGAGAGAGAGCGAGAGAGAGACGAGAGAGAGTAGCGGGAGAGTAGTATTTCAGAGAGCGATATTCTCTCTCTTTCTCTCCTCTTCTCTCTATCTCTCTCTCCTCTCTACTCTCCTCTCTCTCTCTCTTTTTTTCCGCACCTCTGGTCTCTTTCTCTCTGATGTACAACTAGGGATGTTGCGGTGACCATATTACCGCCACACCGGCAGTAATGACCATTGAGTCACGGTAATCTCCTGTTATGCACTCTGGACATGCATTGGTAGTACCCAACTCGCTAACAACCATCGGGTCATAATGGTCTGGTACTCAGGGCTCTATTGTCCCTCTAACCACTCTGACATCAATGCAAATGCAATCGAAAATCATCAAAAGAGTATCATGCTTTTAAAACTCACCTCAATGTGATAATCAATTTGAAGAAAGAAGTTCAACAGTAGGTTGAAACTGAGTGGAAAACATGGTCATTGTGGATGTTGTTTCAAAGCCTAACACAACTAAATGGACAGCGCTTTCTAAGGTGAAGATTAATTCAAAACACCCATACACATATTAGAGGTTATGCATAGGCATATGAGCCCAAGCCCGAAAAAATACGGAATTAAAATGACAATTGTGCCGTTATACAATACATAGCCTACCACATATTACTCATGGCAGACAAACATTAAACAAAACTGATTTAAGATGTCTTTGGTACATAATTGGTCTAGCCTATACTCCAAAATTAAACAAATTTGAGTAATCGCCTTTGAGTGTGGACTGTATTATTATGCATACTGGATGGATTGGTTACCTTATGCTACACTCCAACATTTCTACCCATGAGTCTGGGAGAGAACATATAGCCCTAGGCGATGCAGTTGGTTTATTGATTGTGCAGGGCGATTTTGAATAGCCTATAGTAATAGGGCATTGTTTATATTTTCATAATTTAATAGGCTGACACATTACCTTTAGCTACAGAATATCTCACCACCGTAAGTTTCCATTTGCTCCCCTCGCTCCTTTATTCCTTTCTCGAGCGCGCAGAGAAAGTGGCTGTCAACAGTTTAATGAAATTTTTTTCGTTGTGAAAATATTTTACTATCGATGTTCCCAAACAGATTTCACTTGGTTTCCCAATTAAGCACTGGGTAGCTGCAGGAACAGGGTTGGAGAGCCCATGGCACACAGAGTTTGGGCAGAATATCACCTGTCACGCAGCGAGAGCGTGCTCCTCAAACAGTGGTTGATGTGTGGAGTGAAATAAGTGTTTTTATATTTACTTCTCAGCTGTTCATATTAAGTACACGCTCTGCTATAAAACCGAAGTAGCCTACCAGACATCTTTGAAAAACGCAGCGGCGGGAAAGCGTGCAGCCTCCATTTGCTTTTTCCCCAGCCCCCAGCGTTCAACACCATAGTGCCCTCAAAGCTCATCACTAAGCTAAGGACCCTGGGACTAAACACCTCCCTCTGCAACTGGATCCTGAACTTCCTGACGGGCCGCCCCCAGGTGGTAAGGGTAGGTAACAACACATCTGCCACGCTGATCTTCCACACGGGGGCCCCTCAGGGGTGCATGCTCAGTCCCCTCCTGTACTTCCTGTTCACCCATGACTGCATGGCCAGGCACGACTCCAACACCATCATTAAGTTTGCCGACGACACAAAAGTGGTAGGCCTGATCGGCGACAATGATGAGACAGCCTATAGAGAGGAGGTCAGAGACCTGGCCGTGTGGTGCTAGGATAACAACCTCTCCCTCAACGTGATCAAGACAAAGGAGATGATAGTGGACTACAGGAAAAAGAAGAGGACAGAGCACGCCCCCATTTTCATCGACGGGCTGTAGTGGAGTAGGCTGAGAGCTTCAAGTTCCTTGGTGTCCACATCACCAACAAACTATCATGGTACAAACACACCAAGACAGTCGTGAAGAGGGCAAGACAAAGCCTATTCCCCCTCAGGAGACTGAAAAGATTTGGCATGGGTCCTCAGATCCTCAAAAAGTTATACAGCTGCACCATCGAGAGCATCCTGACTGGTATGGCAACTGCTAGGCATCCGACTGCAAGGCACTACAGAGGGTAGTGCGTACGGCCCGGCCAAGCTTCCTGCCATCCAGGACCTCTATACCAGGCAGTGTCAGAGGAAGGCCCTAAAAATTGTCTAAGACTCCAGCCACACTAGTCATAGACTGTTCTCTCTGCTAATGCACAGCAAGCGGTACCGTAGCACCAAGTCTAGGTCCAAAAGGCTTCTTAACAGCTTCGACCCCCAAGCCATAAGACTCCTGAACAGCTAATCAAATGGCTACCCAGACTATTTTCATTATACCCCCACCCCGTGTTTATTATCTATGCATAGTCACTTTAACTCTACCTACATGTACATATTATTGGCCTGCTGGCCCCCCTACCTCTGCGGAAGCACAGTTCCCGCTCAGCCCAGTCAAAACTGTTCGCTGCTCTGGCACACCAATGGTGGAACAAGCTCCCTCACGACGCCAGGAGAGCGGAGTCACTCACCACCTTCCGGAGACACTTGAAACCCCACCTCTATAAGGAATACCTGGGATAGGATAAAGTAATCCTTCTACCACCCCTTACCCCTTTTTTTTTGTAAAGTGGTTGTCCCACTGGCTATCATAAGGTGAATGCACCAATTTGTAAGTCGTTCTGGATAAGAGCGTCTGCTAAATGACGAAAATGTAAATGTAATATTACCTCAATTACCTCGACTAACCTGTGCCCCCGCACATTGACTCTGTACCGGTACCCCCTGTATATAGCCTCGCTACTGTTATTTTACTGCTGCTCTTTTTTTTTACTCATCAATGTTTTACTTAACATTAATTTTTCTTAAAACTGCATTGTTGGTTAAGGGTTTGTAAGTAAGCATTTCACTGTAAGGTCTACACCTGTTGTATTCGGCGCATGTGACAATAACATTTGATTTGATTTGATTTAGTCAGGATCGAGGGAAAGATGAACGGAGCAAAGTACAGAGAGGTCCTTGATGAAAACCTGCTCCAGAGCGCTCAGGATCTCAGACTGGGGCGAAGGTTCACCTTCCAACAGGACAACAACCCTAAGCACAAAGCCAAGACAACGCAGGAGTGGCTTCGGGACAAGTCTCTGAATGTCCTTGAGGGACCCAACCAGAGCCCGGACTTGAACCTGATTGAACAGCTCTGGAGAGACCTGAAAATAGCTGTGCAGCGATGCTCCCAATCCAACCTGACAGAGCTTGAGAGGATCTGCAGAGAAGAATGGGAGAAACTTCCCAAATACAGACTCAAGGCTGTAATTGCTGCCAAAGGTGCTTCGGCAAAGTACTGAGTAAAGGGTCTGAATACTTATGTAAATGTAATATTTCAGTTTAATACATTTGCAAAAATAAATTGGGTTTGTCATTATGGGGTATTCTGTGCAGATTGATGAGGGGGTAAAAAACAATTTAATCAATTTTAGAGTAAGGCTGTAATGTAACAAAATGTGGAAAAAGTCAAGGGGTCTGAAAACGTTCAGAAAGAACTGTGTAAGCATATCTTGTCAGCTAAACGAACAAGCCTACAGCCTATGGCATGGCGCATAGCCAGATAACATACAGTAGGCCAATATATATTCTATTCTTTTGAAATATGTTTTCTCCATATCATAATGTTTCTTTAGACCTGCCTAAAATAAATAATAGATTTATTGTGATGGTGTATATTCAATTGATTTATTATACTTTTAGATGTTGCAAAGGTGCGCATCAGCGGCTTTTATGCAGCTTGTATGCGTGGAGGCCTGGCGATACTAAACGTATTTATGTTAATTAACGGTCAATTACTGTGAGACCGGCAGTCTTTTGCATGACAAAAACCGGCTAACAAAGTGTCATGAATCGTCACAGCCCTATGTACATCTACAGTACCAGTCAAACGTTTGGACACACCTACTCAAGGGTTTTTCTTTATTTAAAAAAAATATTTTAAATTTTAGAATAGTAGTGAAGACATCAAAACTATGAAATAAAACATATGGAATCATGTAGTAACCAAAAAACTGTTAAACAAATCAAAATATATTTTATATTTGAGATTCCTCAAATAGCCACCCTTTGTCTTGATGACAGCTTTGCACACTCTTGGCATTCTCTCAACCAGCTTCATGAGGTAGTCATGTGGAATGCATTTCAATTAACAGGTGTGCCTTCTTAAAAGTTAATTTGTTGAATTTCTTTCCTTCTTAATGCGTTTGAGCCAATCAGTTGTGACAAGGTAGTGGGGGTATACAGAAGATAGCCTTATTTGGTACATATTAACAGCTCAAATAAGCAAAGAGAAATGACAGTCCATCAATACTTTAAGACATGAAGGTCAGTCAATACGGATAATGTCAAGAACTTTGAAAGTTTCTTCAAGTGCAGTCGCAAAAACCATCAAGCGCTATGCCAAAACTGGCTCTCATGAGGACCGCCACAGGAATGGAAGACCCAGAGTTACCTCTGCTGCAGAGGATAAGTTCATTAGAGTTCCCAGCCTCAGAAATTGCAGCCCAAATAAATGCTTCACAGAGTTCAAGTCACAGACACATCTCAACATCAACTGTTCAGAGGGGACTGTGTGAATCAGGCCTTCATGGTCAAATTGCTGCAAAGAAACCACTACTAAAGGACACCAATAAGAAGAACAGACCTGCCCGGGCCAAGAAACACGAGCAATGGACATTAGACCAGTGGACATTTTTCCTTTGGTCTGGAGTCCAAATTGGAGATTGTTGGTTCCAACCGCCATGTCTTTGTGAGACGCGGTGTGGGTGAACAGATTATCTCCGCATGTGTAGTTCCAACTGTAAAGCATGGCGGAGGAGGTGTTATGGTGTGGGGGTGCTTTGCTGGTGACACTCTCTGTGATGTATTTAGAATTCAAGGCACACTTAACCAGCTTGGCTACCACAGCATTCTGCAGCGATACGCCATCCCATCTGGTTTGGGCTTAGTGGGACTATCATTTGTTTTGCAACAGGACTATTTTATCAAGAAGGAGAGTGATGGAGTGCTGCATCAGATTTCCTGGCCTCCACAAACCCCCGACCTCAACCCAATTGAGTTGGTTTGGGATGAGTTGGACAGCAGAGTGAAGGAAAAGCAGCCAACAAGTGCTCAGTATATGTGGGAACTCCTTCAAGACTGTTGGAAAAGCATTCCAGGTGAAGCTGGTTGAGAGAATACCATCAAGGCAAAGGGTGGCTACTTTGAAGAATCTCAAATATAAAATATATTTTGATTTGTTTAACACTTGTTTGGTTACTACATGATTCCATATGTGTTATTTCATAGTTTTGATGTCTTCACTATTATTCTACAATGTAGAAAATAGTGAAAATAAAGAAAAACTCTTGAATGAGTAGGTGTGTCCAAACTTTTGACTGATAGTGTATGTAGGATAGAACCATTATGTTTGTTAAGGATAATAGTTAAATCATCTATGCAGGAATTGACGATGAAGTATCAAAGAATAGAAGGGCAGCGACAGTTTTGTGGGTGAACGGATGGAGCGCAAACAGTGAAATAACGTACAAGCGCTGTCTTAGTCCGAGTCAATTTGTGAACAGATACTTTGTCATTAGTTTCAACAGTCAAATCTCAACCTGTTATTCCCAAATGTCATTCAATTGAAACCAAATATGAGGAACAAATAATTTAAATGCAGGTATTGAAAGAAAACTCGGGACTGTGCTAAAGCCAACACAGTTCTGCTGCAGCATCAATCTTAATTAAATAAACGTCTCATTTTTTTATATTAGCGCCTCAATTCATCTGATGAAAAAAACGCTTTAATTGATAAGATTGGGAATCAATGTTCCCTGAATTCCAAGCAGCAGCCCTTTAAAGACTACCTCACTAATAAAACACGAGTGGAAGCAGTATTCTCCTCCTGATTTATGATAATCTGACTGTTTGTTTCTGTCGGGCCGTAATAACCTAACGACCTGCTTTATTGGCCGTGGCCCCGGAGGCATCCTACAGCGTCATTATACCTGCCCTTTCCAGCAGCTCCAGAAGGTCAACAGTCTGTCTGGCTGGGCCCAACCATGAGTGAGGGGCTGAGGAGGGGAACCTGGGACTAACTGAGTAGAGGGACCCAATTAACGTCCAAAAGAGCCCCCTGCGACAGAGCTGAACCAAGGAGAATCACATACACAAACTGGCTGCTGCTACTCATCATCTACAGCTGAAAAAATCTCTCGTATTGGTGGACAGATGTCTGAATCAGATTTTCCAGATATTTAGATGTTTCAAAATTGTATATATTTTCACAGAGAGGGGGGAATTGACCAATAGGAAGATCAATAGGACCAATAGGAAGATCAATAGGAGCAATCTAAATGTTTTAAAGAAGTTTAAACAAACTAGAATTTATAGGATGAGCCATAATAAATGGCTACAGTACAGTAGGGTATTGCAGTACCTGCAGTGCCTGAGTAGTCAGCAATAGTCAGCGGGTAGCCATCCTCATCCGGGTCAACAGAGAACAGTCCCACTCCAAAGGCTCCATACTGGGCGAAGGCTGTGCTGTTCTCAAAGTCCTCCAGGTCAATTCGCAGCTCGTAGTTGGCTTGGATGGTCAAGGCATGCATCCTCTTCAAACCTGAGACGAAACACAGAGAAGAGGCCCGTCATGATCTGACATGAACAGCTGTGATTAAAGATGGAGGTATAGGAATAGCACAATGGAACACTTGCATAACTTTCCGTCACTGAACCATAACAGCGTCCAAGGCACAGTAACCAACTTTTCAGGTCTTTCGGACCCAGTGGGGTGCACCTGTCTCTCTGCAAGTATATGGGTGCTTGGTAAGGAACTACTGTGCTCTCCCTCATATGAATTCTCTTTGTAGGCTGTAGACTGGTCTATGTGCTGTACCACCAGGACAGAAAATCAATAGGCCAGGAGATTTTGCCGGTGCTAGCCAAGCATGCTGCGTCTCTACAGCTGTTGTCGACAGTTGTGGAACACCTTGTATGGTTCCTACAAGTGAACCCCCACTGGGCACAGACGTCAATTCAACATCTATTCCACACTTCATTGAAATGACGTGGAAGCAACGTTGATTCAACCAGTGTGTGCCCAGTGGGCCTCCACTGCAGGTAGCCACATTCGTTTTCACTGACTGCTTCTTGCTGTTTGAAATGCTTCGCAGATGCTATAGGATCATTAGACAGATAGCCAGTGAGGAAAAAATTGCAGAGAAAGTCACAATTTACATGTATCACATTATTACCCATAATGCTCTGTATGCACATTGTATGTGCTGTGCTATGGTGCGGTGGTCTCAAATACCAGAAAGAGTTAATGTTCTCATATAGAAATCTTGGAATGCATCGCTAGCACGCTGATTGACCAATCGATTTTAGATTAAGTTAAACTCCAAAAGGTTCAGCACTCGAGAATGACCTTAATATTACAGTGGAGAGCCACACCAAGTGGCCTAATCTCTCTTCCCCCTAATCTGTTCTCCTCCCAGTGCAGACACATTGTTCAAACAGCAGGATCCGTTTGATAGGGTTCTCCCAGCAGCAGAGCACATCTCCAGAGTCCATCATCAGGCATAAACAGTGTTGTTTAATGGGTTCATTCCACAGCAAATAGATGGGCTATTTACACTGGAAGGTCATCATCAGTCTCCACAATGGCACCCACAGGTGCAACAGTGTGCCCACTCGTGCGCCTGTATCGATATAATATAAAGGGGTTTCCCTCAGACGGGGCACCATTCCTGTAGGGAATGTTCCTTTTTGTAAGGGTGTGTTACGATCATATAAGAAATTCAACAATGAATTTCTATTACTATTACTATACTATTACGACTCTCAACTATTGCACCCGTCCACAGATCAGATGGAACTCTGCATGCACTTAGGTGTGTGGCAAAGCAAGCTGTAACATGGCATCATGGCATCATCCCTAATATGAAATCATATGTACTAGTTTTGCCCCTGAAAAATATGGACTACAGAATTTGAGATTAAAGACACCCACAGATAACTCAGTAACTACAGTAAATAAACCACCACAGCCTTCAGTGTCTCAGGGTAAATTCGTGTGGTTGTCAGTGTTGTCGACACAAACCCCCTTTGATAACCATGCCTTTTTGGGCATTGATCGCTGCTACTGCCTGCTAATCCCTCTGCAGGGAGCGGTCTACAAAGACTGTCTGACATTCTCCCCAGCCTGCACATCACAGAGGGCAGGAGAATAACACAGAAGGCAAACAGCTTCATATTCTGGTATACGTTGTCTTAATATTGGGCAGCTACACTGTGTTTCGTGTGCCCTTCAACTTGTTCTGTATTCACTGATTATTTCATCAGACATACACAAGGTTGGACTGCTTACTGAATGAGCAGCTAAGGACTAACTTAAGGGGGTGTTGTAGACATGTGAAACTGAGGAGCTCAAGGACATCTTAGACAATATGCATGATGCACAGATGCACTAAGTGACGTGGCACTGTCTGCATACATCTCCATAACAGTTCACCACCATCTAGACTAGAGCAATGTGTATCAATACATAGATCTGATAGTTATTTCATCATTTGGGAAAAAGTTTGAGACATTAATTGGTACATGCAGAGCCTCAGGCCATAGAGACTTACAGTATGTCGATACAGATAGAGATAGATATGTACACTGAAAAAGCACAAATAAAAAAAAAGCATTTACTTGGCAGTTTGCATGTTTCCTATTGAATTATTGATGAGATGAACACCTCTCCAGGCTGTTTTCCAATGGAACCTCTTTTTGTCTGTCCTTCACTCACTCATCCCAGTTGCGCCGTCTGGCACAATACGGTAGGTCTGTCCTTATCAACTCAAAATGGTAAATCTATTAATTCTCATGCCTGTAAATGTGAGTTTTTCAGTATTGTCTTAACTCTACATCCCTGTGCTAAGACGCTTTACCACACGCACCTTTTATGTAGCTTTTTACCCCTGCTCCTTTTGGCTTTTAGACTGACAGTTTACATATCTCAAGGCAAATCATTTAACATTTTCCAGCATCAAAGCCATTTCTTTGGAAATTCAAACTGTACTTTCCTGTGAATTTCCATAATTGTGCTTAGGTTTTAATTAGACCCCTTGAGAATCTCTTATCCGATAAAATAGTGCTCATTGCAGTGGAGACATTTAACAGCATATTCATTATCTCAAATGAAATCTTAACACTTAGGTGTAGAAGTGATGCTCCAGAACCTTTGTATAATTCCAGCCAGTAGTTTTGAAAGTGGTGTACTACATCATCGAATTGTGTACTATGTCGTCCATTTTGTATGATGTTACATCCTGGAAAAATATAATGATTATGATTATATTATTATACTTTATGTTACGAATCCGATTCGCCACATTTGATGCATTTCTTAACCAGCTCTTTTTTTTCATTGTGCCAGGAGGAAACATTAATCTCTCCACCTGGTTATGATCATGACTAGACTACCTTTTCCTCCAGATGCAACATTCCTGGCCACCCATTATTAAGAACACACTCTTCCATCTGTGCAGCAGCAGGGTTTTACTTTTCAGTAGTGCTTGTTCCTGGTAACACATCTAGCTCGGCTGTTCTCCCTCCCCTGTCAGATAATGGCATAGAGAGAGGTGAGAGGTAGAGGAGGCTGACTTCATAGAGTACATCACACAGACGTCTGCACCGACCCTGAGAGTCGCAGGTCTAGGTTAGGGGTTCTTTGAACGCCTGTCAAAAATGGTGACATGGAGCCTCTTAGTTCTGCTCTAAATTAATCATCCCACCATGACACCTGGGGCCCTCCCTACGTCACCCTACTTTACATATCTGGTTTCGCCTGTGGCTTCAGCACCGTAGACAGGCACACCACTGCATCAGTATTGATATCACTCATTTCCAGCACCTGTCTGCATTGAGGAGGCTCTTGTCTCTGTGCAGAGTTGCTTTGGCAAAGCCGTTCTCCACCTTTAGCGCAGTTATACGCAAATAAGGGTGAAGATTTAATTAGGCTTGATACAGCTCTTGTTTTGTATTTGACATTCTTCTCTGTGAGAAGAGTCCTCCTGGATTCAGCAATCTGAGGGGAACACTCCCGGGGGAAGACTGCCCAATATCCAGCTAACCTCTGTGATTGTTTAACCTACAGGCTTATGAAATAGCAATTATTCAATTAAAAATAAAGTGCCGTTCTCTGCGAAAGCTGAACTAATGAAGCTTGTACAATTATGATGGGGAGAGACTATATAAGGCTGTGTCTAGACTTGACAGTTAATGCAGTTTTTGTATTCTGATCATGGAGATCTGATATAGAATTCTGAACACATCATGCGTCTAAACTTACATTTAAATGTGTCCTTCATGTCCACATTGTGTCCGGATTAATTTTCCCTGCTCTATATTCAAATGCCAGTATGCATTCTGCAAACGGTATAACAGGCAAAATATGATAATAACACAACAACAACTTGATGGCAGTAGCTAACTACTGTAGCTAACAGCCAGCTAGCGGGCAAGCTAAGCTAAAGGGATTACAAACGGGTTAGCATAATTCTAGTCAAACAAAAAATTAGCTGGCTATCATTTATGAGGCCAGCAAACACGTTCCTCACACACTAGGAACGTATTTCATTCCAACGTTATAATGAAAAGGTGCCTCTTGCTCCCAAAACCCATGCTTTCTGGAGTCTTGTGGGCGGAGTGCTGACCACGTCTCCCACTGTATGCGCTTTCGGTAGCCTGATTATGTCCAGACTGAGGAGAAATCTGCACACAATGCGTTCCTGACCACCTCCTCAAAATGCGACATTTATGCGTTTAGACCTGTCTTTTCAATGCGATCTTCGTATTCTGATAGCAGAAGTCGCATGTAATTATCAAGTGTAGACACGGCCTAAGAGACAGTATAATTAATTCAAAGATGATAAATTCTCCATCAGTATATTAACATGTCTCTCTAGATTAACATGATTGGATGCTCAAATCTGTTTGCTTTAACACACAGCTATAGGCTCTTCTGAACAATCAGAACGTCTATTAGCTATGAAATCCTGGGGCCTTATTTATCTATATTGCATAGAAACTATTCTAAAATAGTACTTACGAACGGAATGTTCGTAAGCATAGAAAAAGTATGATTTATCAAACAATCCTACGAGCGACATATGCAAACCGGTAGTATGTTATAGTTTGTTTTGCTGATGATTACATCCAAAACATTGGCTCATCGAGGGCTGTGAGATGCCGATCGGCATGTTGTATGAATTCACAATGATTATTTTCAACGTATACACTGAGTATACCAAACATTAGGAACAGCTTCCTAATATTGAGTTGCACCCCCCCTCCCCTTTTGCCCTCAGAACAGCATGGACTTTATGAGGTGTTGAAAGCGTTCCACAGGGATGCTGGCCCATGTTGACTCCAATGCTTCCCACAGTTGTGTCAAGTTGGCTGGATGTCCTTTGGATGGGGAACCATTGTTGATACACACGGGAAACTGTTGAGCATGAAAAACCCAGCAGCGTTGCAATTCTTGACACAAACTTCTACTGCAGTGGGCCAAATCAGGGTCACACAGAGTGTTTCTTGGTAGTCTTAAACAAATCTACTTTGAAACAAAAGTATACACCTCACACACATGGTTATGGGCTTAAAAAAAGAAGACATCTGTACCATGTCAGATATAGTTTGACATAAAAACACAGGATTTTCTGCTGTTAAAAAAAAAAAAACCTGTCTCCTCCCCTTCAACAAAATGGATTTACTGTACATTGAACCAAAATATAAACGGAACATGTAAAGTGTTGGTCCCATGTTTCATGAGCTGAAATAAAATATCCCAGACATTTTCCATACGCACAAAAAGCTTTTTCTCAAAAAATGTGTGCACAAATCTGCTTACATTCCTGTTAGTGAGTATTTCTCCTGCCAAGATAATCCAACCACCTGACAGGTGTGGCACATCAAGAAGCTGATTAAACGACAAGATCATTACACAGGTGCACCTTGAGCTGGGGACAATAAAAGGCACATAACACAATGCCACAGATGTCTCACATTTTGAGGGAGCGTGCAATTGGCATTCTGACTGCAGGAATGTCCACCAGAGCTGTTGCCAGAGAATTGAATGTTAATTTCTCTACCATAAGCCGCCTCCATTGTCGTTTTAGAGAATTTGGCAGTATGTCCAACCGGTCTCAAAACTGCAGACCATGTGTATGGCGTTGTGTGGGCGAGCAGTTTGCTGATGTCAACGTTGTGAACAGAGTGCCCCATGGTGGTGGTGGGGTTACGGTATGGGCAGGCATAAGCTACGGACAACGAACACAATTGCATTTTACTGATGGCAATTTGAATGCACAGAAATACCGTGATGAGATCCTGAGGCCAATTGTGAGGCCATTAAAAAAAAAAGGTATCTGTGACAAACAGATGCATATCTGTATTCTCAGTCATGTGAAATCCATAGATTAGGGCCTAATGAATTTATTTCAATTGACTGATTCCTCATATGAACTGTAACTCAGTAAAATCGTTGAAATTGTTGCATGTTGCATTTATATTTTTGTTCAGTATAACAAGTGACATCAATAAGGGATTGTAGCTTTCACCTGGATTCGCCTGGTCAGTCTATGTCATGGAAAGAGCAGCTGTTCTTAATGTTTTGTATACTCAAAGTGTTTTCCCCATTCTACGTTTGACAAGCAGTTCCCTTATTCCACCACTTGGCACTGTGCATAAGCATGGTCATGGCTGTGCATAAATTTACACACACTCTCAAGCAAATGCTCATATTGATAAATCTCACACTTTGCATGGAAATGATCCCATGCATGGTTTACCCACAGATATGTGCCTACACATGATTGATAAATGAGGCCCCTGAAATTCTGTACTGGCTATATGATACTGTAGCATCAAGAGAAATTCAGAAATACAATCAAGCTAATCTTATCTTATCAGCATCTTATCTTCCAGGGCGTTGACTTGATTTTGTCTCCTCGGTTAGTCAGGCATCATCTCCCTCTTAGCACTTCGCAAAGTACACAATATTAGTCATTACGCCTCTCAGATTAAACTAAAAGGAAAAATTAGTGATGGCGACTTCTCAACCGCATCAACAAGGTCACACAGACGGAGAGTCCAAAAATTATATCTTTGAAAGTACAAAATGCATTTAATTCAAAACAATGAATATTCAAGTTGCGATACCGAGGAAACATCGTATGGTATGTGGCCAAATTTGTCAAGGGAAAATAGTTAGGGTATCTGCTTGTAGCTCTGTTCATCCCATTTCCCTGCCTTGGAAGTCACCTCAGCTGAACACAAGTTGGCTGCAAATTGCAGAGGCATGGATTGGATTGATAAAAAGGCTTAATGTTGTATACAGTGGCTGATAGCATCTACATTTTATGCAAAATGGGTTGGCACAAAATAACACTGGGGGTTCTAATTTATCTCAGTCGATTTCTGGACAGTGGAACAAGCACAGAGAGAGAGTTACTCACAGAGTAAGATAAGTAGTTAGTCTAAGAAAACCACAAAAGATTATTGAAACAAATGATTAGCAATGCTGAGCCAAACAATGTTTTATCGAACACGGCGGGAGACCGGTCCACACGACTTAAACCTTAAAAAGATTAGGACCCAGTGAAAATTGGCTGTGTGTTTATGTTGGCAAACGACACAACAGGGAATAGCTGATATCATGGTGGCTCATATCTATGAAATTCAGTACAATTCGCTGACTTATTCCATCCAATGTAGGAAACACTGGGAGTGGGAACTGGTACATTGTGGGAAAAAGGCCGATTGGAACCGGATTAGAGCCCATTTATCAATTCACAGGCCATAGTGGTATTTGACAAGTAGTCAGAGATGAAGGAGCGTTATGGGAGAGGGATTTAGAGAGACCTATGGTTAGAACAGTCTAGAGGCGAAGGTCAAAACTAGTTGTGTGATCAGGAATCACACTAGTATTGTGCTGACAGATATATCATTATGAGAACGTCTCTGAACAGTTACGCTATCTTTTGACATGGAGCTCAATGCATTATGGTCAAGCTAATTTAGCAATTACAACAATATATTCACTGTTGGTGACCCCTGTTCATAGCCTCTGTGCTATTATGAGATATAATTCTAGAACAATGAAATACAATGTGTTACATTCTCTTTATCTTTCTCCTTCTTCGCCATCCAAAGTTGTTTATAGCGATTGACTTCATGTCATGACTATATAAGATTAGGGACTCAGGGAGGGCTTACAATACAGGGCATACACATATCAGACTAAGAACACAACTGTAGCCTACATTACTCAATACACTGAGGATAACTCTGCAGCGGCTGTGAACACCTTATCATTTGCCTGCAAGTGCTGTTTGTACTTTGAAGGGACTACATATCAATTTACAATGGACACATCAAGAGAAAAACTTCACCAGTGAATACCTGGCTGAATCTGGTTCCTGACCAATGGATACAACTCATCTGTCTGCACAAACAACGCTATGAAAACACAGGACATCAAACATGATTGATCCAGCCCATCTCATCACTTTAAGTAAACAATAGCGATCCAAATGCACACATAGTGCATAACACTCAGAGGCACTCACACACAAAATAAAACAGACATACTGTGACCATTAGTTTGTCAGCAGTATTTCAATTAACATCAACTGAATGGGAAGACTGTAATGGAAGGGCTGGCGTGTCAAATCAAATCAAATCAAAATGTATTTGTCACATGCTTTGTAAAGATCAGGTGTAGACTAACAGTGAAATGCTTACTTACGAGTCCTTTTCCAACAATGCAGAGTTAAAGATAAAAAAACATTTTACAAAATGACATATTGACACAAGGATTAAATACACAGTGAATAACAAATAACAATAAAGAGTCAAAAATAACATGGCAATATACAGGAAGTACCAGTACCGAGTCGATGTGCAGGGGTACAAGGTAACTGAGGTAGCTATGTACATATCGGTAGGGGTAAAGTGACTAGGCAACAGGATAGATAATAAGCAGTAGCAGCATATGTGGTGAGTGTGAAAGTGCGTGTGTGTGTGTGAGTAACAGGAGGTTGGTGGCACCTTAATTGGGGAGAACGGGCTTGTGGTAATTTTTACATTTACATTTACGTCATTTAGCAGACGCTCTTATCCAGAGCGACTTACAAATTGGTGCATTCACCTTATAGCCAGTGGGATAACCACTTTACAATGTATTATTATTATTATTTTTTTTTGGGGGGGGGGGGGTGGGGTGGGGTAAGGGGGGGGGTAGACGGATTACTTTATCCTATCCCAGGTATTCCTTAAAGAGGTGGGGTTTCAAATGTCTCCGGAAGGTGGTGAGTGACTCCGCTGTCCTGGCGTCGTGAGGGAGCTTGTTCCACCATTGGGGTGCCAGAGCAGCGAACAGTTTTGACTGGGCTGAGCGGGAACTGTGCTTCCGCAGAGGTAGGGGAGCCAGCAGGCCAGAGGTGGATGAACGCAATGCCCTCGTTTGGGTGTAGGGACTGATCAGAGCCTGAAGGTACGGAGGTGCCGTTCCCCTCACAGCTCCGTAGGCAAGCACCATGGTCTTGTAGCAGATGCGAGCTTCAACTGGAAGTGTGCGGAGGAGCAGGGTGACGTGAGAGAACTTGGGAAGGTTGAACTGGTAATGACTGGAGGGGAATCAGTGGAATGGTATCAAATACATCAAATAAATGGTTTCCAGGTGTTTGATGCCATTCCATTTGCTCCGTTCCGGCCATTATTATGAGCCATTCTCCCCTCAGCAGCCTCCACTGGTGAGAGTGTGTGAGTGTGAGTGTGAGTGTGAGTGTGAGTGTGAGTGTGTGTGTGAGTGTGTGTGTGTGTGTGTGTGTGTGTGTGTGTGTGTGTGTGTGTGTGTGTGTGTGTGTGTGTGTGTGTGTGCGTGCGTGCGTGTGTGTGCGAGTAGACAGTATACATGTGTGTGCATGTTTTGTGTGTGTGGGCATATGTAGTGTGTGTGTGTGTGTGTTGGGGTGTCAGAATAAGTATGTGTGAGTATGTGGGTAGAGTCAGTGCAGTGTGTGTGTGTGTGTGTGTTGAGGGGTCAATGTGTTTAAACCCAGAGAGAGTAGGAGGAGCAGAGCTGTGAGAGAGATAATGCCTGTAGCTCACTGAGCAACAGCACTCCATAATGACCACTGTGAGGCCTGGAGTGGGACAAGGTTATAGTCTACACATAACAAATATCTCCACTAGTTTGGTAAATCTCCAACTGCGATTAGAAAATAGTCACAAAATCGTCTGTAAAACCAGAACCGTTTCAGCTACAAACTAATAAGTGTCGGCTGTTTTCACTCTAAGACATCCACAAGCTTTACCGCAGTCATCTGAACTCTCTGGCGCGGGCGTCCTAATTTCGAAGAGGTCTTCTCACAAAACCAACTGTTCAGACCAAACCGTTTGAGCTACAAACTAATATGTCACCAATATCGAAAGGGGAGACTCGATTGTTTTGTGCTATGAAGCACACAAGCTTCAGGGAAGTCATCTGAAGGTAACCCAGTACAGGGCTGTAAAAATGGCACAGCGTGCATAGGGGGCAAAAAGTGCCACGAATAACGTGACCAAACATGGGTCTAAATTTAGTTTTTTAGTTTTTATATATCTCTTAGATATAGTACAGACACTTCAAAACCTTATTCCTTAAGATTATTTTTTTACTGTCTGTTTTGCCACAATTTTTATTCTATGTGTTTCCATGGGCTATAGCAGTAAAGGCCAAATTCAATGTTTCATCATTTTGTTATACTTTTTTTTATATACCTACAGGGCCCCTAAAATTCCAAATGAAATAGTCATAAAATGGATAATTTAACCATCTTAAAACAATTCCATATGTTAGCTTATTCGATATTCTGATCTAAGGGTTTAGACCTACATGAATGGTAGAACACTTAGCTGTGAAATAAAGTATATTTATACTATATGTGTTTTCATATTTAGAAATGGCACTCTTTGAAATGTGTGTTAAAGTTAAAATGCTTGTATTTAAGTTGGCAACAAATCATCTAGGCAATTTAAAAAACCTAGCTACAACAGCTAGCTTAAACAAAGAGCAATCACTACCACAATAGCAGTTAGTCCTGAGAGAAAGGAATTATGTAAGCGATGATCAACAGCAGTAACACAAGAGGATTCTGCTCAGAAAGTCTTGTTACCACATCTCCCATCAGAGTTCAGTGGTTTATAATGGACCTTCCTCCCATTAGTGAAAAAAGTGGGCCATGTAGTGAGGCATGGGAAGAGCTATTCTGCAAAGGCTCCATATCCTACTCTCTGTGCATTGGTTAAAATTCTAATGGGCAGAGATGCAAGGTGACTGAATCATGCACCAAGGGTGAAATTGCTTATCTAAGCTTATTGAAATCAATGGAATTGTAAATTTGAATATGAAAACAAAGATTGCAAGTGAGTGAGGGAGAGAGTGGAGAGAAACAAGGGAGTTTGCAGAAGGATTAGGAAATTACAGAGTCAGCATTCCATTCAGGGAAACAGGGGCAACGGCCTGACAAGACAAACTGTCATGGCCACATCCCACTAGCCTGCTTTCCCTAGCCTGGGTCGTGTTCATTACGGCATGCAATGGAAAACGTTTTAAAACGTTTTGCAATGGAAAACGAAAATGAGTGTGTCTTACTGAACGTAAGTCCTTCCCTTTTTTATTAGTTCCTCAGGCTATCAAAGCTTTATTTTCACATTGTCCTTTCCAGCAACTGTGGTGGCTACCTGGTCAGCACAGTACAGCTCGGCTCGGCTTAGCTCAGTAGTGTGAAAAATGTTTGAGTTATTTGAATTCCAGTCCAAAACAGACTTTATGCTCCACATCATGGCAATTCAAAATGGTGGAAGAAAATCCCAGGCGGATGTGAACACTTAACCAGCTATCCTTAACTCACCTCCTCTTAAGTTAATGTAAAAAGTATGCTGTCAAATGAATTATGCGAATGCACCTGCATGACAACATAGATCTATCTCATCGGTGCAAGGCACTTGTTAGACCAAAATCTAACCTCGCAGTTTCTCATTTTAATCAGTTGTTATAGCTGAAATAGAGTATGTGGCATTGTGGCAACAAAAAACACGTATCCCCAAAATACATTTGGGTCAAGAACAGTAGCCTTCCCAGTTCATCAAAATGTGTGTCACTTCATACATTAACTGTAGAGGTGCTTAAAACACCTTCTAATGGACTGTCATTTTTCAGGATGATGACATTCGGATAATTTGGTCCCTACCTGTCCCTGGGATGTGTGTGTTCTTCTAAACGAGCATAGTGATGAGATTGTATCGCTAGCAGCACACTCTCTGGTCCTCATTCTCCAGCATGCAGTGCTTAATGAGCAATAAGGCATTACCATGCAGACTGCGATCAATATGCCAGGAGGCATTGGCAGGCATGGCCCATGTCATTAATTAATTACTGGGAGAGAAGAATGTAATGTGTGCTGACAGGCCAGGCAGGTAAAATGACTACAGTTATGTTATGTGTCGTGTTGTTATGTTATGATTGTCATAATCACATGTCGTGGCAGTTGTGTCAGGTCCCCCTCAGACTCATGAAGACATGGGATTGAAAACACCCCCTTCTTCTTTTAGAGAGAATGAGGGATAAGGCTTTGGGGTTTTGTTCACTTCATCATAAAAAACAGCCGTCTCTAAAGTAACACTTGAGCTTCATTAATGGGATTCCAACAGTGCACAGAGCAAGGCTTTTATAATCCCTCCTACCCCTGCAGATCACTGGAGCTGGAGCTGAAAGTATGTGTGTACATGCATGTGTCTCTATGTGTGGTGTGCTTGGCACTGGTCATATTGGCATGCTGAGTAAAGATTCTGAGTTTTATAGGAGAGTATTGGAATGAATGTTTTCTATCACCAATTCAAATTCATTATTTGAAAATGACTGATAAAAGGGAATGCTTATCTTAAGTCCTTTGCTAGGTTGGTTTAGAATGAATATGCTAATGCATTACAAAATAAAAATATGGAATTGCAATTTCAAACATACCCTTTGATGACATAAAAATACTCATTAATATTCATATCTCCCCAATATCAAAATAACACATCGTTTCATATTTCAGGCAAATTCTTATGCTGCAAGACGAAACATACATAGAATTTGTATCTTCCTGAAATTAATCTGCAGGATCATATTGCCACGACCATAAACAGTTATTTAGATAACATCAGTAATAAGTCAACTAACTTAACCTAAACAATTAATTTAAATATTTTTGATTTTGCGGTAGAATGTGTTGTGTGTGTGTGTGTGTGTGTGTGTGTGTGTGTATATATATATAGTAGGTGGGCTCATCTTCCAAGTGGAGATGACAACAGTTTTATCCAGTACCTCCAGGTACTCCCAGGGGATGGGATCTACGTACAATTTACTGACAGGTCCCATACTAAAACCCTGGATCAAAACAGATGGTGCCTATAAAGTGAATGCTCTCAAAAGTTACGATATTGATAAAGTTTTACATTTGTAATGTATGTTGAACCCCTCCTCCTCGATGCTTCCCGCAGTACATAAAGAGCCTGTAGGTAAAATAACATGTGGTGAGCAGCAGTTTTCCTCTTGCCTGCTCCTGTCTTGGAGAACTCAATCTTGACATGCTGATGCTTTGTGGCAGGCCTGTCATTTCTAATCACCCAACCCTGAATTAGGGCTCCGGTTCACTCACTGAGGGCAAACAAAAGACACACAAGCACCCATGCAAGTACACACTATACTCCACCTACACACTCTTGTATTCACGCACTTCAGGCCACAAAGAGGAGAGACAGTGAGGACGAGTTGGGGGCCAAAGAAGGGGCCTCACCCTGTCCGATTCCCAAATGGAGCTGCTTAGTGTAAAGCTATGTTTCTATTTCCAAGATTTTGCCGCAAAAGTTACGCTTCCAGTGTTGCAGGTAAAATACCTACTGTTTTCACGACAACCCAGTGTAGCTTCTGTGTAAGTGTTAATTTGATTCAGCTGTCTTGTCTGCTTGAAATTATTGTTCTTGTGTGTGGAACAAGTTTTAGTATTACACACCAAAATCAAATGTTGTCCTTTCTTCATGGGCAGACTTTGGGAATGTGACAAGAACGTGAAACGTTATCGAACCAATAGAGGGAGTCATGCATGGTATTGATCCTGTTTGTCAGTGCTCACCAAGCCAGTGCTCCCCGGTGATCTTGCCGAAGCCGTCGCGGTATGCGTCCCACGCTCGGAAGAAGTTCACTGCGCCGTCCTCTCTGCGCTGAATGACCTGGGAGGAATAACAGAAGAAGAAACACCCCGAATTATTACCATGGCAACATTTCAGTATATTGTTGTGTGAACAGGAATGCCCAAATGCAACCTAATCCAGGGCTGTATTAATGAATGCACACCATATAAAAAAAGATTGCTACAGAAAACGATCTTATTGGACGAGCTCCAGTAGTCCCTCCGTTTCAGTCCGTTTTCTTCCGTTTGGTGCCTAGTGAATATGAACCTGAATGGTTGGTTTTGCCAGCCCCATTTAGTGAAAATACCATCGGAAATTCCATATCATGTCAACATATCTTTCTCCTAAATGTCTCAGACACTGTACTCGATTGGCATTAGAAACAAGACTAAAATGCCATCTGTCACAATTTCCCCATCATCCTATAATTCATTTTGCTTTCTTAGAAATGCTGAATGCTACGAAAACCCATAGCTAAGATAAAACAATGCTCTTTCCCCCCGAGAGGTTGGTCTTTGTCTTTGGTATGCAGAGGTCCTATCAAAATCAAGAGAAAACAAACACTTTAACATTCAAATGGTACAATATTGGGATGCCTGGCAAAGTCAATAGCTTCAATAGCTCCAGAAAGTCTGTGTAAACTGTGTGGTCCCGGTAGGGCTGCTAGGATGCTGATGCATGGCTGGAATTAGAAGTGAGCTTCAGACACTAATTGACTCCTGATCCCTTTATAGACGATTAATCAGCCAGGCACTGGATCAATGGCCGATGAAAATGCCAGCGGAGGCGAGGGTTGCCATCAATGTAAATGAGCCTCTATCTCTTTCACATGTTCCACACCACCAAGCCAAGCAGCCACAGCCAGGAGAGAGCCCACACACACGTCGACTGAAAAACAAATACATTGTGACAGAGGAACCGTCTATGTGAAATGTAATTATGATAGTGATACAGTTATTATTATTATTATTATACAGTCGGGAGTGTTTTGCTAAAAATGCCTCTTAGCATTCCCATCTCTAGCCCAGTCATCAGTGATCTATTGGAGAAGCTCAAGTAATCAATGTTACTAAAGGTAAGGCTCTTTTAAAGCATGTGGAGCCTAATGACTGACTGCACATCTATTCCTCTTTAAAAAATATATATATATGTTTTACTGTCACAGGATAGGTGCAGTGAAATGTGTTGTTTTACAGGGTCAGCCATAGCAGTATGATAGGTGCAGTGAAATGTGTAGTTTTACAGGGTCAGCCATAGTAGTACAGGGCCCCTGGAGCAAATTAGGGTTAAGTGCCTTGTTCAAGGGCACATCGACAGATTTTTCACCTTGTCTGCTCCTCGAACCAGCAACCTTTCGGTTACTGGCTCAACGTGCTAACTGCTAGGTCAATGTCATTTGATGTGTTTAGTCATGTAGCAGCATGCATTCTTTGAAGAGAGCTGACCTTGGTCATGAGATCTGTGAAAACACCCTAATTCTCTCAATAAAGCATGCCAACATTCTGGGCAGGTACTTTGGGCTACATTCAAAATTAATATGTAGAGGTTTTACTGAAAATAAATCTGTTCACTCCTCCTACCCCCGCTCCAACCCACCACGCAACCCAAGACGTTTTATTTATTCACTCTAATCTGTGGAAACGCTCAACTAGCCACCTCTCGACGGTTAATCTGCCCCAATCACCAGGGCACCTTGTGTAAACCAGGTGATTAAAATAAAGGCAAATTCTCATGTTTTAATAAATATTTGATGAGCTGGGCTATGAATATTCCCATCAGAGGGCCTGATGCTGGGGGTGGTTAGATGGCGTAAAGAAACCGGGCTCGCATATCAGGCTGGCTGACACAGTCCTGGGCGTTGGGAGAGATAGAGAGATGGGAAATTGGGTGATGACTGATGTGTATAGCTACGGGGCACTTGTAATAACGTTGCAGAGAAAAGCGCTGACTCGAAAGCCCCATATGCTGGGTAAACACTAAAAAGAAAGATGTTATTGTGTCATAAAACCGAAAGGGGCGGGGATACTGCTCGCTGCCTCCCCTGTCTCTGATGTGTCTGTCTGTTGTGCCTCGCCGTAAAGAGTGAGTCCCGAAAGCAATTTCACCTGTTCCAATGAATCTCTTTGCCAGCCCCCAATACAGAGCAGTCATTCAGTCATTCACAGTGAAGCGCCATGCTAGATGACAGCATCCTGGAGAAAAAGAGATGACACACATTGTCTGTCGGCATCGGAAGAAGTCTTCTTACACATTCCACAACATGGTATTAGTTCACAAAATAACTTGAATAATGTGTCCTATGTACAGTTGAAGTCGGAAGTTTACATACACCTTAGCCAAATACATTTAAACTCAGTTTTTCACAATTCCTGACATTTAATCCTAGTAAAAATTCCCTGTTTTAGGTAATTCCACTTTATTTTAAGAATGTGAAATGTCAGAATAATAGTAGAGAGAATTATTTATTTCAGCTTTTATTTCTTCATCACATTCCCAGTCGGTCAGAAGTTTACATACACTCAATTAGTATTTGGTAGCATTGCCTTTAAATTGTTTAACTTGGGTCAAACGTTTCAGGTATCCTTCCACAAGCTTCCCACAATAAGTTGGGTGAATTTTGGCCCATTCCTCCTGACAGAGCTGGTGTAACTGAGTCAGGTTTGTAGGCCTCCTTGCTCGCACACGCTTTTTCAGTTCTGCCCACAAATTTCATATAGGTTTGAGGTAAGGGCTTTGTGATGGCCACTCCAATACCTTGACTTTGTTGTCCTTAAGCCATTTTTCCACAACTTTGGAAGTATGCTTGGGGTCATTGTCCATTTGGAAAACCCATTTGCGACCAAGCTTTAACTTCCTGACTGATGTCTTGAGATGTTGCTTCAGTGGGGAGAACAAGTATTTGATACACTGCCGATTTTGCAGGTTTTCCAACTTACAAAGCATGTAGAGGGCTGTAATTTTGATCATAGGTACACTTCAACTGTGAGAGACGGAATCTAAAACAATAATTCAGAAAATCACATTGTATGATTTTTAAGAAATTGTTTTCATTTTATTGCATGACATAAGTATTTGATCACCTACCAACCAGTAAGAATTCCGTCTCTCACAGACCTGTTAGTTTTTCTTTAAGAAGCCCTCCTGTTCTCCACTCATTACCTTTATTAACTGCACCTGTTTGAACTCGTTACCTGTATAAAAGACACCTGTCCACACACTCAATCAAACCGACTCCAACCTCTCCACAATGGCCAAGACCAGAGAGCTGTGTAAGGACATCAGGGATAAAATTGTAGACCTGCACAAGGCTGGGATGGGCTACAGGACTATAGGCAAGCAGCTTGGTGAGAAGGCAACAACTGTTGGCGCAATTATTAGAAAATGGAAGAAGTTCAAGATGACGGTCAATCACCCTCGGTCTGGGGCTCCATGCAAGATCTCACCTCGTGGGGCATCAATGATCATGAGGAAGGTGAGGGATCAGCCCAGAACTACACGGCAGGACCTGGTCAATGACCTGAAGAGAGCTGGGACCACAGTCTCAAAAAAAACCATTAGTAACACACTACGCCTTCATGGATTAAAATCCTGCAGCGCACGCAAGGTCCCCCTGCTCAAGCCAGCGCATGTCCAGGCCCGTCTGAAGTTTGCCAATGACCATCTGGATGATCCAGAGGAGGAATGGAGAAGGTCATGTGGTCTGATGAGACAAAAATAGAGCTTTTTGGTCTAAACTCCACTCGCCGTGTTTGGAGGAAGAAGAAGGATGAATACAACCCCAAGAACACCATCCCAACCGTGAAGCATGGAGGTGGAAACATAATTCTTTGGGGATGCTTTTCTGAAAAGGGGACAGGACGACTGCACCGTATTGAGGGGAGGCTGGATGGGGCCATGTATCGCGAGATCTTGGCCAACAACCTCCTACCAGCTCTGCACCCTCCGTTGCAACTTGCCCATGCCCCCCCCGCTTCTCCTTCACACAAATCCAGACAGCTGATGTTCTGAAAGAGCTGCAAAATCTGGACCCCTACAAATCATCTGGGCTAGACAATCTGGACCCTTCTTTCTAAAACTAGCAGCCGAAATTGTCGCAACCCCTATTACTAGCCTGTTCAACCTCGCTTTCGTAACGTCTGAGATCCCCAGAGATTGGAAAGCTGCCGCGGTCATCCCCCTCTTCAAAGGGGGTGACACTCTAGATCCAAACTGTTACAGACCCATATCCATCCTGCCCTGCCTTTCAAAAGTTTTTGAAAGCCAAGTTAACAAACAGATCACCGACCATTTCGAATGCCACCGTACCTTCTCCGCTATGCAATCCGGTTTCCGAGCTGGTTATGGGTGCACTTCAGCCACGCTCAAGGTCCTAAACGATATTATAACCACGATCAATAATAGACAGTACTGTGCAGCCGTTTTCATTGACCTGGCCAAGGCTTTCGACTCTGTCAACCACCGCATTCTTATTGGCAGACTAAATAGCCTTGGTTTCTCAAATGACTTTCTCGCCTGGTTCACCTACTTCAGAACTACTTCTCAGATAGAGTTCAATGTGTCAAATCGGAGGGCCTGTTGTCTGGACCTATGGCAGTCTCTATGGGGGTGCCACAGGGTTCAATTCTTGGGCCGACTCTTTTCTCTGTGTATATCAATGATGTTGCTCTTGCTGCTGGTGACTCTCAGATCCACCTCTACGCAGACGACACCATTTTGTATACATCTGGCCCTTCATTGGACACTGTGTTAACAAACCTCCAAACGAGCTTCAATGCCATACAACACTCCTTCAGTAGCCTCCAACTGCTCTTAAACACTAGTAAAACTAAATGCATGCTCTTCAACCGAACGCTGCTTGCACCCGCCCACCCGACTAGAATCACTACTCTCGACGGGTCTGACCTAGAGTATGTGGACAACTACAAATACCTAGGTGTTTGGTTAGACTGTAAACTCTCCTTCCAGACTCACATTAAGAATCTCCAATCCAAAGTTAAATCTAGAATCGGCTTCCTATTTCGCAACAAAAGCCTCCTTCACTCATGCTGCCAAACATGCCCTCGTAAAACTGACTATCCTACCGATCCTTGACTTCGGTGATGTCATTTACAAAATAGCCTCCAACACTCTACTCAGCAAATTGGATGTAGTCTATCACAGTGCCATCCGTTTTGTCTCCAAAGCCCCATATACTACCCACCACTGTGACCTGTACGCTCTTGTTGGCTGGTCCTCACTACATATTCGTCGCTAAACCCACTGGCTCCAGGCCATCTATAAATCCCTGCTAGGCAAATCCCCGCCTTATCTTAGCTCATTGGTCACCATAGCAACACCCACCCGTAGTATGCGCTCCAGCAGGTATATCTCACTGGTCATCCCCAAAGCCAACACCTCCTTTGGCCGCCATTCCTTCCAGTTCTCTGCTGCCAATGACTGGAACAAATTGCAAAAATCTCTGAAGCTGGAGACACTTATCTCCCTCACTAACTTTAAGCATCAGTTGTCAGAGCACCTTACCGATCACTGCACCTGTACACAGCCCATCTGAAATTAGCCCGCCCAACTACCTCATCCCTATATTGTTATTTATTTTGCTCATTTGTACCCCAGTATCTCTATTTGCATATCATCTCTTGCACATCTATCATTCCAGTGTTAATACTAATTGTAATTATTTTGCACTATAGCCTATTTATTGCCTTACCTCCATAACTTGCTACATTTGCACACACTGTATATATATTTTTCTGTTGTATTTTTGACTTTGTTTTGTTTTACCCCATATGTAACGCTGTGTTGTTGTTTTTATCGCACTGCTTTGCTTTATCTTGGCCAGGTCGCAGTTGTACTCAACTGGCTTACCTGGTTAAATAAAGGTGTGGGAAAAAAATATATATAAAAAATATATATATATCCCTCAGTAAGAGCATTGAAGATGGGTCGTGGCTGGGTCTTCCATCATGACAACGACCCGAAACACACAGCCAGGGCAACTAAGGAGTGGCTCCGTAAGAAGCATCTCAAGGTCCTGGAGTGGCATAGCCAGTCTCCAGACCTGAACCCAATAGAACATCTTTGGAGGGAGCTGAAAGTCTGTATAGCCCAGCGACAGCCCCGAAACCTGAAGGATCTGGAGAAGGTCTGTATGGAGGAGTGGGCCAAAATCCCTGCTGCAGTGTGTGCAAACCTGGTCAAGACCTACAGGAATCGTATGATCTCTGTAATTGCAAACAAAGGTTTCTGTACCAAATATTAAGTTCTGCTTTTCTGATGTATCAAATACTTATGTCATGCAATAAAATGCAAATTATTTACTTAAAAATCATACAATGTGATTTTCTGGATTTTTGTTTTAGATTCCGTCTCTCACAGTTGAAGTGTACCTACAGTGGGGGAAAAAAGTATTTAGTCAGCCACCAATTGTGCAAGTTCTCCCACTTAAAAAGATGAG